AGAAGAAATAATCAAGTAGTGATAGCCAAGAATTTTCCAAAAGTAATGACAAACAACAAACCACAGATTCAGGAAGCTCATCAAACAGCAAGCGGCATAAATATCCAATGATCTAGATTTAGACATATTGAAACTACCTTTGCAAAAATTATGACAGTGAGAGAAATCTAAATTAACTGACCCCATCTTGCTTCTAACCTCACAAACTGTCCTTGCTCACTCCTGGGTGTACACCAAGCTAACAATGAGAAGCATTTAGTTTATAGTTTAACTTTAAAACAAAGATTATAACAATCCCTTCCCAAAACTTACCCCCTCCTTCCTCTGAGACCAAAACCACTTTTGTAAAACTAACAAATTGGCTACAAGATTAGAATTATGGTTCAGGAGTCATGTAGCTGGAGGTCACAAGAGTCATAACCACTCCAGTTGCTCCTATAGATAACTTCAGTATTGTAAAGCCTAAGACTGGTGTTTGAGGTATTTTTCAGACCTTGCATTCTAACGGACCAGCCAATACCACAGGATTGGTAACTAGGTCCTGTGACCCCCCACCCAGGAAATGACTCAGCACAGGAACATCACTTCAGCCCCCAGTGATTTCATTCCCAACCTAAGCAATCAGCATTTCCCTGTTCCCCAGCCCCTGTCTACCAAACTATCCTTAAGAAAGCCTAGTCTCTGAATTCTTGGGGAGATGGACTTGAGAAACATCTCCCGCTTGTCTGGCCCTGCGATTATTAAATTCTTTCTCTCCTGCAACTCCTACTATTTGCAGTGTGTGGCTTTTCTGGGCAGCGGACAAGAAGAGTCTAGTTTGGCAATCACAGTTTTATATTCAAACTGCAGTATACAAAAGACAGAGAAAATATTGAAAAAAGCCAGGGGGTGGGGGAAAAAAAAAACAAACCAACCAACCCTTACCTGCGAAAGAAGGATAAAATTACATCAGATTTCTCATTAAAAACCATGCAAGCAAAGAAAGTAGAAAGAAATATTTAAAGTGATGAAAGAAAAAAAAAAGCCTATGTGGACTTCTACATCCTGTGCAATTAACCTTCCAAGTAAAGTAGAAATCAAGATTTTCTCAAATAAACAAGAACTGAGGGAATTCATGGTCAGAAAGCCTACCCCGTGTGAAAATGGTAAAAGAATTTCTTTATGCAAAGGGAAAATGATATGGGCCAGAAACTCAGATTTACATAGAGAAAGAAAGAGCATCAGAGAAGAAATAAACGCAGATATAATAAAACGTTTTCATTTTTCCTACTCCAACTTGACCTAAAATGAAGCTGTTTGTTCAAATTAATCATATCAACAACATATTGAGTGGTTACGGGACATAAATAAGTGGAATGACTAGAAGCCTTCCTGTTCTTTTTAACATTGTCAGTCATTTCACAATGTTAAAAAGAACAGGAGGACAGAACTTGGGATGTTCAGTTGCTTGGTGTATTCTCTACTCATTAAGTGATAGAGTGTAATTAAAATGGACATGATTCACTGTAAATATATATTACAAACTTCAGGGAACCACTAAAAACATTTTAAAAGAAGTATAATGATATGCTAAGAAAGGAGAGAAAATAGAATCATAAAATGCTCAATTAAACCAGAAAAGGCAGGGAAAAAAGGAAGAAAAGATGAAAACGATAGGTACAAAACAACATTCACAAATGTGGTAGATATTAATCTAACTACATTAATAACCACGTTAATGCCAATGGTCTAAAACACCAATTAAAAGACAAGAGATCAACAGAGTACATAAAAACACAAAACACCCAACTATATGTTGTCTATGAGAAAGTCATTGTAAATATATTTTAAAAGATAGGTTAAAGATAAAGGGATGGAACAAGATACACCATGCCAACACGAATCAAAGAAAAGTTACAGTAGCTATATCAGTGTCAGACAAAGCAGCTTCAGAACAAGGAAAATCATCAGGGATTAAAGAGGGGCATTACATTATGATAAAATTGTCAATTCTTCAAGAAGGTACACAATCCTTAATGTGTATGCAACTAGCAAACTAATGGTAAAACGTATGAGGCAAAAACTGATAGAATGATAAAGAGAAACAGACAAATTCACTACTATTGTTGAAGGCTTCAACACTTCTTTTTTATTAATTGACATATCACACAAGCAGAAAATCAGTAAGGATATAGCAATCGACTTGATCTAACTGACGTTTATATGATACTCCATTTAACAATAGCAGAATGCATGTACTTTTTAAGCTCACACAGAATATTTGCCAAGATGTACCTCATTTTGAGCCATAAGACATACCTTTACAAATTTAAAAGAATAGAAATCATAAAAGTTTGTTCTCAGACCATAAACTAGAAATCAGTAAGAGAAAAATAACTGGAAAATTCCAAAATATTTCCAGATTAACCAGCACAGTTCTAGGGTCAAATAAGAAGTCTCAAAATAATTTAAAAATATTTTAAACTAAATGAAAAGGAAAACAACTTCTTAAAATGAATGGGATGCAACAAAAGCAGCACTTAGAAGGAAATGTATAGCATTAAATGCATATAATAGAAGAGAAATATCTAAATCAATAATCCAAGCTTTCATCTGAGGAAACTAGAGAAAAAAAGGAGCCATTTAAGCCTGATGCAAGCAGAAAAAATAATAATAATAATTAAAGTGGAAATTAATGAAATTGAAACAGGAAAACATTCGAGAAACTTAATGAAACCAAAAGCTGATTCTTTTCAAAGAATTAATTAATAAACTTCTAGCCAGGCTAACAAAGAAAAAAATAGAGAAGAAGAAATGATCAGAATGAAAGAAGGGTCATCACTATGAATTCCGCGGACAATGAAAAGGTAATAAAAGAAAACTATAGACTCCACACCTACAGATTTGGTCACAGATGAAATGAACAAATTCTTTAAGAGGCAAACTAACCAAAACTTGCACAAGAGATAGGTTGTCTGAATAGGCCTATATCTATTAAAGAAATTTGTAAAAATACAAAATTATCTGGGCGCGGTGGCTCAAGCCTGTAATCCCAGCACTTTGGGAGGCCGAGACGGGCGGATCACGAGGTCAGGAGATCGAGACCATCCTGGCTAACACGGTGAAACCCCATCTCTACTAAAAAATACAAAAAACTAGCCAGGCGTGGTGGCGGGCGCCTGTAGTCCCAGCTACTTGGGAGGCTGAGGCAGGAGAAAGGCGTGAACCCGGGAGGCGAAGCTTGCAGTGAGCTGAGATCCGGCCACTGCACTCCAGCCTGGGCGACAGAGCAAGACTCCGTCTCAAAAAAAAAAAAAAAAAAAAAGAAATTTGAATCAATACTTAATAGCCCTCCAGAAAGGAAAGTACTAGGCCCAAGTGGTATCACTAGCTAATCCTACCAGATATTTAAGGAAGAAATGACATCATTTTTCACAATTTCTTCCAAAAATAGGAGCAGAGGCAACACTTCCTGACTCATTCTTTGAGGTTAGCGTTACCCCATCGTCACCTCTCAGTGCCATCTTCTTCCTACTTGGTGACCATGGGCTGCCTGGACTTTGAGCTCCGCTGGCTCATCTTCCCTTCGCTAGAGAGCAAGTGAAAGAGATGACTGGGATGCCTGTCTGGGAGTGGTGGCACTGGGCACTGAAAACCAGCCTGGGGCCACCACTACTGCTGATGATACCGACAGCTTTTGCTTTCTTGGGGCTGTACCAGTGCCACAAGTAGCCTTGGCACAGAGTCCCAATTAGACAAGTTTCCATAGACTTTTACATTTCATACATTGTTTTCCTTTTTATCAAGATGTACAGTTATCCCTTGGTATCCAGGGGGAATCAGTTCCAGGACCCTCCACGGATATCAAAATCCATGGATGCTCAAGTCCCTGATATAAAAGGTATAGTATTTGCATATAACCCATGCACATCCTCCTGTATATTTTAAATCATCTCTAGACTTATAATACCTAATACAATGTAAATGCTATACAAATAGTTATATTGTATTTTAAACTTTTATATTACTTTTTATTGTTGTTATTTATGTTTTTAATTTTTAGAAAATATTTTGCATTCATGGTTGGTTAGATCCATGGATACAGAATCCACAGATAAGAAGAAATGACTGTATTGACGTTCTTGTTTTTTGTTTTTGTTTTTGTTTTTTGAGATGGAGTTTCACTCTTTTTGCCCAGGCTGGAGTGCAATGGCACGATCTCAGCTCACCCTGCCTTCCTGGTTCACTCGATTATTCTGCCTCAGCCTCATGAGTAGCTGGGATTACAGGCATGTGCCACCACACCCAGATAATTTTGTATTTTTAGTAGAGACAGGGTTTCTCCATGTTGGTCAGGCTGGTCTCGTTGTCTTATATTTTTTAAAGATGATTTCCAGGCTTCTCTGACCAGATATGTAAAACATACCAGAACAGAAGAATAAAAAAGGCAAAAGCAGTACTCACTCTCCACCTGCTGCCTTTTTTGTTGGGTCTCATCTCTTTCACTTCCTCCTACCAAGTATTCAGAGATCCTGAACTGACTCTAGGGCTAAAAGCCACATAGATGGGCTCAGAGCAGAGCTGGTCCCCAACTACACAGCCTGGCAGGTGTGACAACAGACAGGCATTTGGATTTTAATTCTTCTAAAAAGATATTTTTTAGACAGAGTTGTCTTTTGGAGTGGGGATAAAGGAGGCCTGGGGAAGATGAGAAGGTTCAGAGGTCACGGGGAATTATCCAATCCTACAGCAAAGCCTCAGAAGGGGCATGATGTTCAAATGGCTCCAGTCCAGCCATTTGCAGATGTAAGAGAATAGGAAGATGATGTGAGTCACGGCATCCCTGAGTTTATCCAACAGCCAATCCCTGCAATTTAAAAAATCTGATTGCCTCGTTATTTATTTGTAACCTAATTCTATTGTATAAGTGTAGAGTGAAGCTGGGTAGACATTAAATAACAAGTATGAATGGGAACCCTACCAGAAATGAAGGACAGACGGGAAAGGAGACGATGACCCACCTGGAGTTGAGATTGCTGTCTCCACTTGCCATCTGCCCCTGCTGGCCCCGCTGTGCCATGAGCTTGGCCTAGGATCACACCCGATTAGATTTTCACTGCCCCTTCCCTTCCTGCAGCTCTGAGGTAAAGCTGCCAACTGCCCCTCGGGGCTCAGCCAAAGAGGAAAAGAAAAGTGAAATTGCCTAACCAGCTGACGTAGGTGCACCAACTCTACAGTCCTCCCTCCACCCGATCTCCATGACGTCCCTCAGTCAAGGGAGGAGGAGCAAAGCCAGCCCCACGAGGCCACAGAAGACGGGGTCACTTTTTCCTGCCAAGGAAAGAGGGTTGTAAAGTCATTCAACTCAAGCAAGTCGAAGTTGTTTTGAGGTAAGATGCCTTCATGAGGAGGAAGTAAACTCCATATTTGTCCCTACCCCTTGCTGAGGTGGCTGAGAAGGACAAGTGAAGACCAGGCATTTGAAATCTTCAGTCAGGCTCCAGGGCTGGCCATGCACCTTAGTGAGCCTGGGCTGGATGGGTTAGGCCCAGTGATTGGACATGGGGCCAGAGAGAACTGAAATACCATGCATTATAAAGTAGGGGAGATGCTCTTAGCACTCCATGAAAGCAGACAGAAGTAAAAGACAACTATCTCAACTCCAACCAAATGCAAGTGCAGAGGTTGGGCAGAAAAGTGAGGTGCATTTCTAAGTTTTCTCAAATACGGTGGGCACTTCACAACTGCAGCCAGGGGTGACTGGGAGAAAACTGAGCTTCAAGCATCTCACTGAAATCTTGAGGAAAGTGACAGCCTTCTCATTGGATGGGGAAATGGTTTGGAGCTGAGATTATCTAGACCTTCAAGGACAATATGATACAGGAGGATAGCTGTATTACATTTATGTTTACACACAATTTTTCATTTATACCCAGCCCTCATTCTGTAAAGGATTTGAAACAATTTACAAAAACACACTATATTAGCATAAAGTCCAGTGATAAATGGAAGCAAAGGGCAAATATAAAAAATAAAACCACAGGACTAGAAATCCAGGCAGAAAAATGGGTCAAAGACAGGGGGCTGATGAGAGCCAGGGTATGGGTAGAACCCAGGGCCAGTGACGGAGCAGTAGTGAGGATTAAAAAGCCAGAGGCAAAGCAGTATTTTTCCAAAAGATGTGCTCCCAAATGCTACTTTTTCTGGCTCATTACACATATGCAAGGAAATCTGCATACATAAGTTTGCAAATTATAGAGTGCAAGAAATTTCTACCCCTTTCTCACTTCTGCTTTCTTTTTTTTTTTTTTTTTTTTTTTTTTTTTTTTTTTTTTTTTTTTTTTTTGAGACGGAGTCTCGCTCTGTTGCCCAGGCTGGAGTGCAGTGGCCGGATCTCAGCTCACTGCAAGCTCCGCCTCCCGGGTTCACGCCATTCTCCTGCCTCAGCCTCCTGAGTAGCTGAGACTACAGGCGCCCGCCACCTCGCCCGGCTAGCTTTTTGTATTTTTTGGTAGAGACGGGGTTTCACCCTGTTAGCCAGGATGGTCTCGATCTCCTAACCTTGTGATCCGCCCGTCTCGGCCTCCCAAAGTGCTGGGATTATAGGCTTGAGCCACCGCGCCCGGCCTCTGCTTTCTTTCTACCAAAGGAACAGAGACCAATGTGGTCGGGACAGACTCCAGAACACTGATGAGGACACCTTTTTCAGTAGGCAGGGTCACTGTGCCTACCAGGTCTTGCATATGTCTGGATCTCTCTCTCTTACCCATGTTTGCTCATGACTCCCAAACTCCTGACTCTGCATGCTAATGGGGACATTCACTGTTTTTATGTCCAATTATGTCAGATAACCAATCCCAGATTGATCGTATTTCCTTGAATATCTCTTGCCTATAATTCAACCTCTGGTACCCAACATTTTTATCAGTCAGGATTTGGGAGTAAAAATAATCCAAACCGACTCTGGCTAAAACTCGGGCAAAAAGTCAATTTCTTAGAACTATATTGGGTAGCTCACAGAATGTATGGGAAAGCCAGAGGACTAAGTTAAGAAAGTAGGCAGTCTAGGCAGGTTATATTAACTCACTTGCCCTTTGTTATAATATAGTTGAATGATATCTGGATCACCTGAACATCCCATAGAATGTCAGACTGGGCTGGGCATGGTGGCTCACGCCTGTAATCCCAGCTCTTTGGGAGGCCGAGGCAGGCAGATCACGAGGTCAGGAGATCAAGACCATCCTGGCCAACATGGTGAAACCCCGTCTCTACTAAAAATACAAAAATTAGCCGGATATGGTGGCATGCACCTGTAGTCCCAGCTACTCGGGAGGCTGAAGCAAGAGAATCGCTTGAACCTGGAAGGCAGAGGTTGCAGTGAGCCAAGATCACACCACAGCACTCTAGCCTGATGACAGAGCATGATTGTGTCTCAAAAAAAAAAAAAAAAGAAAAAAAATGTCAGACTGATTGATGACACTGGTGACAACATGCTGATCAGACAGGATGAGCAAGATCTTGGCGGCCAGCATACCAGCTAAAGAAGAATAAATTACTGACCCACAACAGCAGGGATGAATCTCAAAAGCATGATGATGAGGAAAAGAAAGTCATACACCAAAAGTGCATTCCATGTGCTTTCATTGAAACAAAACAAAACAAACAAAAACACCTTAATACACACAAAACTAATCTGTGGTGACAGAAAGCAGATCAGTGGTTGCCTGGTGCTGGCCTTAAGGAGGGGATTATCTGCAAAGAACACAGGGAACTTTCTAGGGTAACAGAAATGGTGTGTATCTTTTTTTTTTTTTTTTTTTTTTTTTTTTTGTGAGACAAGATCTCACTCTCTCACTGCTCACCAGACTGGACCTCCCGGGCTCAAGCAATTCTCCCACTTCTGTCTCCCTGGTAGCGGGGACCACAGGTATGTACCACCATGCCCAATTAATTTTTAAAAATGTATTTTTATAGAGATGAGGACTTGCTCTGTTGTCCAGGCTGGTCTCAAACACCTGGGCTCAAGCGATCCTCCTGCCTCGACCTCCCAAAATGCAGGGATTATAGGCGCAAGCGACTCTCCCAGCCTAGAAATGGTCTGCATCTTGACTGGTGTAGTACTTACATTTGGTAAAATGTACATTACAATGAATAAATTTTATACCTCAATAAACTGAAGCTAAAAAGAATTGTATATAATTTTAATAGATTCTCAGTACTTAATCACTAGCATGTGAATTAACAGGTGAGGTTTTCCCATTATTACCATATTGTCAAGCATGTTTTTTTTTTGAGGCGGGGTCTGACACTGTTGCCCAGGCTGGACTGCTGTGGTGCAGTCTCAGCTCACTGCAACCTCCAGCTCCTGAATTCAAGTGATTCTCATGCCTCAGCCTCCTGAGTAGCTCGTATTACAGGCATGTGCTACCACGCCCAGCTAATTTTTTTGTGTTTTTAGTAGAGATGGGATTTTGCCATGTTGGCAAGGCTGGTCTTGAATTCCTGGCCTCAAGTGATCTGCCTGCCTCAAGTGATCTGCCTGCTCCCAAAGTGCTAGCTAAGCTACAGGCCTGAGTCACTGTGCCCAGCCAAGCATATATGGCTTAGAATAAACATCTTTCATCCTCATTCACAGCTGTCTTTTTTCATGTAACAATTTTTGCCTGATTTGACATTGACTTTATTTTCCCACTCCTGTTTTACTTTTGTTTGTTTGTTTTGCATTTGCCTGGTATATCTCTGAAGAGATCTAAAGGAAGAAGTTCTTGCTGCCAGGCTCCTCAGACGCCCATGAAGGGGCTATCCAGGTGATGTGGAGGGTAAGTGACATGTGACATTTCCATAAAATAACCTTAATTCCTTAATTCCTTTACCACCACCATCCCCTGCATCACAGCACCGTATGTTACTGCGTGCTGAGGCATCAATGCACCCTCTCCTCAGCTGTCAGCATTGCATTTTTCCTGGCTGTGTCTTCCATGCCTCCGTTTCACCCACAGCCATTACCTGCAAAGCTGGTCTGCTATTCTGTACATACTTGGGTGGGATATGCTGTGTTTGTTCCTGCATAGAAGGGCTCGCTCTTGTGCAGTTAGTCTTGGTTTCAAAGCTTCTTAAACTTTAGATCCATGTCTGCCATCTTGTATCTGAGGAGTTTGTGGGTGTCCTGGTAGGGGAACTTGGGGGTCCTATACATTTGAGAATTATTGATTTAATCAAACTTACATAGATTTCTTTTCTTTGTTCCCGAGATGGAGTCTTGCTGTGTCACTCAGGCTGGAGTGCAGTGGTGCGATCTCAGCTCACTGCAACCTCAACCTCCTGGGTTCAAGCGATTCTTCTACCTCAGCCTCCCAAGTAGCTGGGATTACAGGCTCACGCCACCACATCCAGCTAGTTTTTGTATTTTTAGTAGAGATGTGGTTTCACCATGTTGGCCAGGATGGTCTCAAACTCCTGACCTCGTGATCCACCCGCCTCAGCCTCCCAAAGTGCTGGGATTACAGGCGTGAGCCACCATGCCTGGCCCAAAGTTACATCGATTTCTATAGTGCAGTGGTGCAATCATAGCTCTGTGTGGCCTTGAACTCCTGGGCTCAAGCAAGCCTCCAGCCTCAGCCTCCTCAGTAACTAGGACTACAAGGTACATGCCACCACACTCAGTTAATTTTTTATTTTTTTATTTTTTATAGAGATGGGGTCTCACTATGTTGCCCAGGCTGGTCTCAAACTCCTAGGCTCAAGCAATCCTCCCATCTTGGGCTCCTAAAGTGCTGGGATTATAGGCATGAGCCACTGTGCCTGGCCAATAGTTAAGGATTTTTCATAGGCCCCACATGTCAATGTATATTAGGGATCTTTAAAGGGGGCATGAGAAGGGGTGTCCCTGCCAGCCCTTGAGTTGCTGCTCTGGAATCAGCAGGCCCCAGCTCTGCTTCAGACTCCAGGCTCCCAACTACCTGCCCAGCTCTCAGCCATTTTTCTGCCTGGAGGTCTGCCTGCCTCTGCACAATTCCAGTTCATGTGCAGGTTCCCTTGCATTTCAATTTCTTGTAATAATCTTATCCTGACAAATTCTAGGCATTTCTGGCACATTCTCTTTTTTGTGTGTGCTGTTAGTTTGATAACACACTGGATAAATTCCACTGAATTTATTCAGTTACGTAAACATCACCACAATCCAATTTGAGAACATTTTCATCAACCTAAAATGTACAGAATGAGGACAAGTCATGGGAAAATAGATGTGGGTAGGGAAGCAGTTGGACGCTGAGTTCCCCGTTCCCACTGCCGCTGGGGAGGGACCCCTATGCCTCCTCCTCCCATACGCCTCTCTCTGGGCTGATCCCAACTGGCAGCACGCCCTCCCCCAAACCCCAACTGCCGAGACGTCCCGGGAGCCTCACAAGCGCCCATGAGGAGGTGGAGAGAGGCTGCAGGCACTGACCTGCCTTCAGCTTCCTGCTTGGCAAACTCCGAAAACTTTCACTTTTCTTTTCTCTGAAGCCCGGCCCCTTACTGCGTTTGTCAAAGCACGGACTTCCTGTTTTGCCTGCTACCATCTCCCTGTAACTCTCCCAATCTTCGAAGAGTGATCCCCGGCCCAGCTCCTGGAAAGGGGCAAGAACGACAAACTCAAAGTCCAGGTGAGTTTCTGTGTTTGCTGCTTTATTCTTCGCCCTTGGCGACTGCAGAGGCGACTGCAGTTAACTTTCCGGCAGCAGCTGCAGGGTGGAGTTCACCTATTGAAACTCGGAGGCTCTGTCAGAGCTCAAGCACGTGGTACTTATTAGGAGACTGTTAAAAGGGGGCACATGGAGGGAACACTGACACCTCTTTTTTTCGCCATAGAGTCCAGCCTGTTACTGTGAATGGAACCGAGATTTGCCCTCTACCCTCACCTAAGTTCTCATCCTACACTGCCGGCAATAGGCAGCTCATCTGTTATCCTTCCAAATATTTGGGAAGCTGGTGGAAAAGAAAAAATGAGAGTACATTTAATTTCCTCTCTAGTGTATCGTGAACTTTTTATATATTTTCTCTAAACACACTCATGATTATTTCCTTGAAATAAATTATTAGAAGTGGAAATTCAAAGGAGCCCATGTTTCAGGGCATTGGACACTGATTACTGAATCAGCCTCCAGAACATTTGGACCTGTTGACCTTCCCACTCACAGTGTCTGAGATTATTGCTATTATTTTCTATCTTGGCCAATTTGATAGACAAATATGTTATCAAATTGTCTTCATTTACGCTTTGTTTGTTTGTTGTTGTTGTTGTTTTGAGACGGAGTCTCGCTCTGTTGCCCAGGCTGGAGTGCAATGGCACCATCTCAGATCACTGCAACCTCTGCCTCCTGGGTTCAACCTTCTGCCTCAGCCTCCTGAGTAGCTGGGACTATAGGTGTGCACCACCACGCCCAACTAATTTTTGTATTTTTAGTAGAGACAGGGTTTCACCATGTTGGCCAGGCTGGTCTCGAACTCCTGACCTCAGGTGATCCTCCCACCTCGACCTCCCAAAATGCTGGGATTACAGGCATGAGCTACCATGCCTAGCCTTCATTTATACTTTCTACCAGCTAGTTAACATGCTTATCGTATATTCATTGCACATTTGGCTTATTCTTTTATCACTCTCTGTTCATGTATTTTGCTTTTTTATTTTCTAGTTGGATGTTTGTCTTTGCTTATTCATTTGTAAAATCTCTTTACGTAATAAAAATCTAAGCAGTCATATATGAGATATAGTGTCTTGCATAGAGAGAAACAGGATTTTAGAGTCAGACAAGCTCTGCTTTGCCACTGAATACCTTGTGTGACTTACTAAACCTCTCTGTGCCTCCCTTTCATCTTTGGGACTCATGACAGACGAAGAATGAGGAAGCTCCAGACTTCCTGTGCTGAGCGCTGCTGTATAATGAATTGTTCTAAAAGGAGCCCCCCAGACCCCTTCCTCTTCTTAGTATATGTTTATTCTGACTTTCTCTGACTTTGCACTGATCTTTGCACTATCTCCTTCCCCTAGGCATATTGTGGATAGTAGATTTCTCTCCTATCTGTTCTCTATCTTCCAAGACTTCTTCCCGACCACAGATTCTCAGTGGCATCTTTTCTTGTTTTCCAGGGCTATTGCAGATTATTCTTTTCATGAGTACTTTTTTCTGCCAAGTTAAAAACATTGGGGAATGAGGAGAAAGAGACTATGGTGCTTAATCCGCCACTGGGATTAAATCCCTGGAAACAGTTGTTAATTACAATTTAGTTTTCTGTTCAACACAAAATGAAGTTGGAAAAATGGAATCCACGTTTGTTCTGTTTGTTAAAAATCCTCAAGTTGATTGAATGTTTTGTGAGTGCTTTTCCTTTTCTTGACAATTTGTCAAGAATGTCATTTATAAATTTTCTTCCCATTGGAACTTATTGATATCTCCTCATGGTCCATAAATGGCCAATCTTTAATAAATGCTGCATGGTCATGGGAAAAGGCACACGTCTGAGACATGAAATGGTGGCACTGAACATGTCAGTTAAGTCACTTTTACTAAGTATGCCTTTCTCAGCCCTCATGCTTTTATTTATGCTTGGCCCATTTGTGTTGAAGATTGGGAGTGGTTTATTAAAGTTTCTAAATATTATCAGGTTTCCAGCCGGACTCTACCCATTTTAGGGTGGTCCCTGTTGCATGAGCATTGCTAGTTAATGGCTTCAGCTACAGCCCAGGTCATCTTGTTTAACCCAGATCAATGTGGCCATGGAACACATAGTTAGGACTCTAAGCCTGGAATCGGGATTTGCTCCCAGCTCTTTCACTCTCGAGTTGTGCAACCCTGGGGCAAGTTATTAAACCTTTCTATGTCTCAGTGTCCTCAACAGTGTAAACAGGTGCAGCCATAGGAGCCATCTCACAAGGGTTTTATGAAGATCAGATAAGTTACTGCATATGAAACCCTTAGAACAAAGTCTGGCACACAGGAAACACTCTATAAATATTAGCTACTTTTAATATCTTCCTTATGTTTACCTGCAGCGCCTTGGGATTCTGTCATTATATTTTCAGTCACTCTCAGCCTCCATTGTTGCTGGGAATTGTCATTGTTTCCTATACCCATGAGCCTTTTAGGCAGACATTGCTTTGCAGGTACTAAGGATGCCTTTGGGACCAGAATGCCTACCTTTAGATCTGCCCATTTAATGCAGAGAGAAGCTCCCCGCATTCCTCAAGGTCTTTGCTTCTATTTTTTTTTTTTTTTTGATGGAGTCTCGCTCTGTCACCCAGGCTAGAGTGCAGTGGCACCATCTTGGCTCACTGCAACCTCCACCTCCCGGGTTCAAGCGATTCTCCTGCATCAGCCTCCCAAGTAGCTGGGACTACAGGCCCACGCCACCACTCCCAGTTAATTTTTGTATTTTTAGTAGAGACAGGCTTCACCATATTGGCCAGGATGGTCTCAATCTCTTGACCTCAGGTGATCCGCCCACCTCAGCCTCCCAAAGTGCTGGGATTACAGGCATGATCCATTGCGCCCGGCCTTTGCTTCTATTTTTTATCATGCCTCTTTCCATAGGATGTTCACCATGACAAGAGCCATGGAAGAGGCTCTTTTTCAGCACTTCATGCACCAGAAGCTGGGGATCGCCTATGCCATACACAAGCCATTTCCCTTCTTTGAAGGACTCCTAGACAACTCCATCATCACTAAGACAATGTACATGGTGAGTCATGTTGAACCCTTCCATGGCAGCCCAGCCCCCACCAAATATGCCTGATTATTAAGATCTCAAACCACAAACCACCAGGGCTTCCAGAGTTTGGAAGGCCCAGCCCGGGTGTGTTCATTATCACAGAAGGTGGGGGTGGTTAGGAGAGAGGGTGTCATAGGGGCTGTATTGGTTTCTAGGGTGTCATTGATGTAACAATGACTACAAACTAGGTAGCTTAAAACAACAGAAATATATTCTCTCAGTTGTGGAGGCCAGAAGTCCAAAATCAAGGTGTTGACAGGGTTGATTCCTTCTAGAGGCCCTAAGGAGAATCCGATCCCTGCCTATCTCCTAGCTTCTGGTGGCTGCTGGAAATCCTTGGTGTTCCTTGCCTTGTAGACACATCACTCTAATCTGTTTTCATCTCTACATCACCTCTCTTTTGAGTCTTCAACCTAATCTTCTGAGGACACTTGGATTTAGGGTCACCCTAATCAAAGATGATTTTATCTCAAATCAAAGATGAAAATATCTCAAAAATTACAACTGCAAAGACACTTTTTCCAAGTAAGTTCGCATTCACAGGTTCTGGATGGCTATATCTTGGCTGAGAGGGGCACCATTCAATTCACTACAGGCATCTCACTACAGGCATTAGTGAATTAGTTGAATTAGGCAATTCAACTCACTACAGGCATCATTCCAATTTATAACAGCTTATATTGCTCACAGTGCATTCTGATGTGAGACAGGCAGGCACTGGAAGATATGCTATGTGGACAAAGTGGACCTATTTTTATACAATTTTGGTTTTTAAAAGCATTTATTGAGCCCTAGACTCGGGGAAGTGCCAGCAATCTTCCCTAGTCTCAGTCTGGTTGGCCCCAACTTCCTCTTCAGATCACAGCCCAGAGATCGCCCCTCAGAGATATCTCCTTGGCCCACTCATCTCATTAAGACCTCTTAGTTATTCAGTTCCATAGCAATCTATGATTTCCCTCCATAACACTACTCTCAATTGTAAATGGGTATTTGTGTTTATTAATGCCCATCTTCTCCACCTGACGGTGCCTACCCTGCCCCCCAAATATAGGCAGCTCTATGTTGGTCTTATTCAGTGCTGTGTACCCAAAGACTTGCTGACTGAGCCTAGTAGATGTTCAATAAGTATTTGCAATCAGTCCTCTCTTGCCATATTTCTCCTTTTGTCCATCCTCTCAGCAAGGAAAATTCTCAGGGAGACTTCTCTGTGGCTGGAATCTATTCGGGTCATTTCAAGTTTGAAAGACACAGAGAGAGACTGGGCAGAGGCTAACAAGCAACCAGCAGAATTGCCTCTGTGACCATCACTAGAACCACTGCTGAAGTATCCTGCCCAGAGCATTAAAGAGTCAGTTACGTAGTAGCATCCTTTAACTCCACTTTCCTTCCTTCAAATTGCTCTCTCGTCTCAAATGTGCCTGAAAGTTGGATTCAGAATATAGACTTACTTTAAGAAAGCTAAATTATTTATTTTTGTTGATAGTCATCCAAATATGTGTAAAGTTTCAAAAATAAGCATGGTAAAATTGTGACCGCTCTACCTTAGAGAATGTGACTATGACTATATATTTTATGTTAAATTTCTTCTTAAAAGAGTAAGGTAGCTTTCTTAAAACTTAGAAAATCATAAATGTATAACTTCCCATTCGATTTTATAGTCATTTATAAAAACCTTCACTCCATTTTTTAAGGAATCTCTGGAAGCCTGTAGAAATTTGGTCCCTGTATCCAGAGTGGTGCACAACATTCTCACCCAACTGGAGAGGACTTTTAACCTGTCTCTTCTGGTGACATTGTTCAGTCAAATTAACCTGCATGAATATCCCAATCTGGTGACGATTTACAGAAGCTTCAAACGTGGTAATGAGATTTCTCAAGTCCTTTTTGCATTTAAAAAGTTGCTATGGTAAAAGTCGGGGTTTACTTCTAGCCCTGTGGAATATGCATATTAATCCCCCACTTTCTCTCTGGGGAGGAATGGATCATATTCTCTCATTGGTACAGCTTCAGGAGCAGCCCCTTGCTAAAGCTGATTCCAGCTCTCTAAAATGAATTTCTAGAGGACATAAACATTTCTTACGTGTGCTATGAATTTGGAAAAAATCATAGAATTTGGCACACTGGACAATCTATAGGGAATGCATAAAATGACAGAAATGCAAAGTTACAGAGATCACGTCTAGTGGAAGGACAAGGAGAGTCAGGGAGGAAGAAAAATGAGTAAGGATGGATAATACTAAGTATCTTTTTATGGTGCATTATCGCAAACACTTTGTTTGATTATCTCATGTCATCTTTAAAACAACCCTTTGAAGTCATTTTTATCCCCATTTGACTGACAGAGAAATTAAAGCCCAGAGGTAATTTTCCCACAATTACTTGTCGGTTAAGAAGCAGAGCAAGAGTCCTACTTGGGTCTCCCAATACCGGGGCCCAAGATTTTAACCACTAGTCCAGACAGGGACAGCTGGAAGGCAGATTGTAAAGCTAGAGAAGGGAAGAAAAGTAGCTACAGAGAAAGGGAGGGAACCGCAGATGTAGCCGCAGAAAGAGAGGGTCTGAGAAAGAATGGAGCATGAAGTACATGGAGAAAGAAAAGAGATTGGATAAATAAAGGAGCAGGAAAAAGAACCGTGGCAGAGCTGGGAAGAAAGCAGCCAGGGAAAGAGAGCAGGCAGTAAAGTCATTTTAGGTTGGAAGTAAAACACTGGCCAAATCATATGTTCACTTACCTCAGAACAACAAGCAAAGGACCACCAGCTCACATTGGATTATGATATTTTCATTAGTGGAATCACCATTGTTGACAGTTCCTCCTTTGCTCTCTGACACTTCACCATCAAAAGGCTTCCACCTAAAGGGGGAGATGATTTCTTGAGCTAAAGGGACAGTGAAAGGGGCAAGTCCACCTCCAGGTAGGGCCCACTGTCCTGGCAGCATACAGAGAACATTAGGAGAGGCATGGCTTTAAAGGCTGTGCTAAGAACACCTGAAAGCCATGGAGACCCACACACTGATGTGCCCCTAACCTGGCTGAGCTTCAGTCATCTTCCAGGATCTTCAACTTGATGATTCTGTTCTGGATCCCTTTCCAAAATTTGAAGTTCCTTTCCTTTTTCCATTCACTGGTTGAGACCATTTTACTTCTGAAATAAATTATGGAGAAGAATCTTAAGAGAAACCCAGCACTAGCCGTGCAAGGGAATAGCATGTGGAAAGCCAAGGGTCTGGGGTGTTGTGGATGGGAGAGAAAGCTGGGTGTGACCAGATCACAGGGTACAATAGAAGCCGCAGAAGCTGACTCTGCAGAAATGAACAGAAACCAGAATATAGATGTCCTAATACACCTGCTGAGGAATTTTTGTTTTCTCTTATTTGCTTTGGGGAAGTGTGATCTGTTTATTTATGAAAACAGAGACCTCTTTTAAAACTATAGCATGTTCATTATTGACTAAATCATATGACACCAAGATTAAAGAAAATTAAATCCCTGCGTACAAACCCAAACTCAACTTTTCTGTGTGAAACCATTTTGGTATTAGATCGGGGCTTAGATGCAGTTATTGTGGCACTCAATGCCCAAACCAGATAAATAAAATAGAAATGGGCCACAAATGGATAATGATGACAATGAGTTAGTTCTCTGCACCTGGGGGACAATGAATAACTCCATGGCCCCATCCTATTGGAAGGCATGAATTAAGAAATCCCCTTCCCCAAGTAATTCTGAGTCTCCAGGGTACTGATGTGTGTCCCTTCACCAATCCCAGTTGGCGCTTCCTATGAACAGCAGAGCAGAGACACACCAGTCCTACTTGAAGCCCCAACTGGCCTAGCAGAAGGAAGCTCCCTCCGTACCCCACTGGCGCTGCCCCCACCACAACCGCCTCAACCAAGCTCTTCACCCTGTGCGCCAAGAGTCAGTGAGCCTGGAACATCCTCGCAGCAAAGCGATGAGATCCTGAGTGAGTCGCCCAGCCCATCTGACCCTGTCCTGCCTCTCTCTGGACTCATCCAGGAAGGAAGAAGCACTCCAGGTGAGAAGCAGATCCCATCCAACACCCGTATATCCTCAGCCTAAGGTGCCTGTGCCATGTTGCCTCCAATCCCAGCGTCTTGACTTGTATTGTCCTAGTTCTTCTCTTGCACCCACCTACCCATACACAACCCTTTTCAAGAGGGACTATGAGCACTGCCGGGGAGTGGGTAAGACCTAGAGTCTAGAAAACCTGCTTCCCACACCTGCGACATTCCAACCCACTGCCCTTGTGCCTTGATGCTCTATCTGTTCCAGGCACTTTTAACATTCACCCTCCTCCCTGACATCCAGTCGCTGTAATCTGTAATAATTTCCTTTCCTCCTTCAGTGACCAATGATGAGTTGACATCCAAAATGAATGAGGAAGAAGACTCAGAAGAGATGCCCAGCCTCCTCGCTAGCACTGTGCCAGGTAATACCGACTGGGGCTGATACAGCTTAGCTCAGGGTGGCTGTGAAGGGAGAACATGCATCTGCCAACCAATAGGCTATGGTGGGAACCATGGGAAAAGGAACTGGGCGTGACAAAGGAAAAGAAACAGAAGGGGCCAATTCACCAATGCAGTAATGCAAAACAAACCAACAACCAAAACACCATTCTGAATTGACAAGTAACCTGTGTAACACTCACACTAGTGACCCTTAGCTGATTCCTCACCCCCACCTGATTATCGGGGCCTTTGAGTTTCAACATTCTTCATTTTTATGTGGTTTGGATTCTAAGAGCAATGATCAAAATTACTAGAAAAGATGATAAAATGTCTACAGGTCTGCTAGACCTGATATGTAGCTTCTAAAATTGTATCACTTGCCCTCCCCAAACCATTGTCATAATGGAGTTTAATTACATTAAATATAAGAATGGTATGATATTGGGCATTGTCAAAAATGATATCATGGATCCCGAGCTCTCCAGTACTGAGAAGAGGGTTCCTCTTCGATCCAAATAATATTTCATCTACTCCTCTAATACCTACCATCCAAAAAGGTTAACATAATCAGGAAGCTAACAGCAATGGAAGAACAAGCGGCTAATTGAGAGTGAATGGTTGCTTACTTTCCCACTCCATCCCATCCTTCCCCAGGCCTTGGTTGCTCAGTTACCCTGTCATTTTTACTTGTTGGAATAGAGCATTCTCTTTCCTCCTCATTCTGGTCCCTGCTTGCTGTTCCTGAGATCTGAAACTTTTTCTTCCTCCGTTCAGTGGCCAGTGACAACCTGATCTCCCAAATAAAAGATAAAGAAGACCCCCAAGAGACGCCCCACTCTCCGTTGGGCTCTATGCCAGGTAATCTTGGTTTAGTCAACCTGAAAGCTTGCCTTTGTTTCTGTGTCTACCTAGAGGAAAGGCCATTCAGATCTTCTAGGGAGGGGGCTCTCCTCCCGCCTCTCAATCTTGGCCCAGCTTCCAGTTCACTCAGCACTGGGGAGCTTGAACAGGCAGGAGATCTGACCCTTGAATGGATACAGAGTCCCTGGGGGAGGGCAAAGGAGGCAAGTCTGGAAAAGGTAGACTTGGATAGGGCCACAGATGATGATGGACAGAGCCCCACCAGTACCTGTAGGCTTGGACTCCAAATACCACAAAGTGCCTGAAAGGGAAACATTCACCTGCCACAAGGGGTTGTGGCAGGAACCCCAGGGGAAAGCACAGGGAACTGAGTCAGGCTGGACTGTTTGCCGGAGCCACTCTTCTGAGCCTCTTCAATAAAGCAGTGCTCAAAACTGCTCTGTCAATGAAAGAAAATGAATAAAAACACTGTGTGGCCCTAATAGTGATGGTGCAGCAGACACGGATGGTCCTCCTTCCAAGCCCCAACCTAATGGTGGGGAATCTTCACTTTCAACCCTGGTCATTTCTATGTCATTTGGAGTTTAAGAGTTGATATTACTAATATAATTTGAAAGGTAATAAATTATTCCAAAGGTCTAATGACCGTTTGCTACCTGCCTCAGTCACCTATTCCTACGCAGGCCAGCATTTGAGACCAATCTCATAGCAGTGTGTAAAGAAAAAGGTGACAGCTTTATGTGAGATGGGCCTTTATTTGTAATGGCTTCAAATCCTCTGTCTTTCTTTGTGCAGCAAAAGCTAGCAGAGCTTTATACATCTTTGCTGTTAACAGGTGCTAGGAAGCACAAGCTTGCTCCTGCTTTCTTCAAACAATCCTTGTATACAGAAATATATAAGGCACTGAGCCTTCTTTGCTATTTCTCCAAGTAAAATAACCACAGATAGAGCAGTTAAAGAATATCCGTGCATAGACATCAAAGCAATAAGATGTATTTTTCATACAGCAAAGACATTCCCCTCCATCGTGGACATCAGATTTCAATGTCACCACTTTCCGCTCTCAGCTTCATTCCTTGCGCAAGGGCTGCTGGGAGCGGCAACTAAGTGACTAGAGTCATGATACCCAGCACAGTTTATTTCTGCAATTTCCATTCATTGTACCCTCTTCACTCACTTCTCTTCCATCCATAAGATAATCTCTCTAAAAGGATCAGACTGAGCCTCTGCTGTGGGGCAGTTGTGCCCGAGTTCCCTGTGATGGTCACGTAGGTAATAATAACCACAAGCTAGTAAAAATCAAGACACAGCCAGGGAATTATTAGGGCTAGCAGCTTCCCAGCCCTGGGCTGCATGTACTTTCTACTTTTCTAGTTCTTCCATTGACTTCCCTCAGCACTTTCTCTTCACTGGATCTGAGCTCTGAAGTGACTTATATTTCTTTTGTCAGAGATAAGAGATGATTCTCCAGAACCAAATGACCCAGAAAAGCCCCAGGAGGTGTCCAGCACACCTTCAAACAAGAAAGGTAAGGAAAGCATTTCTCCTGTAGAGGTCAGAAGGGTGAATTCTGAGTTGCTTTCTGTTTTTCTGTGTCTTGTCAAGAGCACCACTATGTGACCACAGTCCTGATGCCACACGCAGTTTGTTTCTGCTATTTCCATTCACTGCATCTTCCAGAAAGGTCTTTATGAAAATTATCAGGAAACCAGAAGGCATTTGGGGATATTGAAATATGCCATTGGAATTGCCTTTTCTGAAAATAATCAATCTCCTATATTCACAACTTCTGTGTTAATTGCACTTCCGTCTTTAACTGAAAGTTGGTTCCCCAGAGAGGAACCCACTTCCTCTTAAGACATGGCTGGGCATTCTCTGCCATCCATCACTCACACCTCATGGTGAGAGGCAGGTTAGATGTCCATCCTTTGCTGCCTACTGACCCCATCCAGCCCCTGCCTCCCTGATCCTCTCCTTTGAGGCTTAACCATTCAATTAAAATGTTTGCTCACTCATCATCAATATCATCCAATAATTTCCCCAATAATCCTTTCAAAAGCTGTTTTTCTGTCATTTCAAGTCACAGCATCATCCTAGATGCCTTCAGGGTACACATGGATAACAGACAACTCTGTTATCCAATACTCTGGCCCCTCAAATCCTTCATCTTCTCATTTTCCATGACTTTTTCCTCCACCAATTCTTGGCCTCCCATATCCAAAGGCAACCTATAGACCCTATCATCATTCACATCTGGCTCAATTTCCCAACAGTTAATTTCAGAATTCCTTTTTTGATACCTATCCTTGAGCTTTTCTCCTTCTGTAGCTATCATTCAACCTCTGATCACTCTTTTTCCCAGTCCAATTCTAACAAACAAACCAAAAAGAATCAAAAACATGTTTTTCTGTTCTTATTTATTTATTATTTCCTCTAAAGTTCCTTCAACCTCATTTGGATCACCAGTCCACTGGCCTTTCCTCCTTCCAAGCCATCATCTGCTTTTCTTTGTTGCCCAGCTTTTTAACATTGACACTAATTCACAGTCCAAGAGTCATCATTTCAGTAATCTATTGCCATTATCTTAAATCTGCCTTTCCTCTCTGCCTTTTCCTGGAACTCTCTGGCAAGTCTTGGAAGACCCTACTTACCTACTTCCTGTACACTGCATCTGACTTCCTGTACACTGCATCTGACTTCCTGTACACTGCATCTGACTTCCTGTACACTGCGTCTGAAAGCCAGCGGTGCTGGAGAGAGTTCCACAGCAGGGCAGAGTACACTCACTGGTCTTCATGGTTCCAGCACAAATCATCTCTCCTTACTGTGTGACAATGCTACTTCCTGCAATAATCCTTTCAAACCTCAAGCTCTATTTTTCAAACCTCTGACCCCCTCACCTCCTGCTTTTTGCCCAATCAATGACTTTCCCTCCTGCACCATAAGCAGATATCAGATGAGAATCCCCTTATTTGTGCTGCTGGCCCTGCAAACCCTAACTATATCTGTCTTCCTCCTCTCTGAGTTCCCTCCTTCTCTTCTAAGGCAATCCTTCCACCTCATCTTGTAGTATCCATGATCCCTTCTCTCTCAAGTATTCCTTACAGCAGTATCTCTCACACAAGAGTCTGCATTCAGACAATAATTACATGTATCATAGCTCATTAAAAAAATGCTTTATCTTGATTCTCATCTCACTTCAACTACTTCCATAGCTCTCTTTCATTTCACAACCAAACTTCTAGAAGTGAGTTACCTAAACTCCCTGTCTCCATTTCTTCATTTCTCCTTTTCCTCTGTCATTTTAGAGTCCATCTTCCCCTATTATTCCCTGAAGTAGCATCACCTAAGGTCACCAGTGACCTCCTAGCAATGTGGTTTGAAGGCCAAAAGTAAAAGCTGAATATCACTGACATATAAGATTGGGAGATCAATGTTTGTAACTATAAAACATTATCCTTTCTTTTTAGGAAAGAAAAGAAAAAGATGTGTCTGGTCAACTCCAAAAAGGAAACATAAGAAAAAAAGCCTCCCAAGAGGTAAGACGAGAGTACAAGAGAAAGCTGGAGGCTGGAAACAGCTCATGCAGGGCTTATAGGTCAAGCTGTGGAGGATTGAATTTTATTCTAAATGCAATGGGAAGCCATTGAAGAGATTTAGTCAGTGAAGTGACACAATCCAAGCTCAATTTTGCTACAGTGTAAAGAATGAGTTGGAGCTGGGAAAGAGTGGAGACAGGACAGCCATTTTGGGGCAGATGCCATGAGAGTTCTTAGTGGCTTGGATTCAGATCTGACAGTGGAGATGCAGAAAAGAATGCCAATTGAAGATCAGTTTTGCAGGTATTGTTGACAGGATTTGACATAGTAGCTACAGATGAGAAAGAGAGAAAAATCCAGGCCCATTCTTCAATTTCTGGCTTAAATGAGTAAGTGCTAATTCCCATTGCTGAGGGAAGATGTAAATATATTGGGGGGATAACTTTTAGAGTTCAATTTTTGACCTGTTCCTTTAGAGGTTTCTGCTGGCCATCTACGCAGCTGTGCATAGATGTGTGTTTTGTCAAGAACTGTAAAGGGTCTGAGATGTTACTCCACTTGCATTGGTATGTCCTTATATATATATATATATATGAGTGCTGCAGGAACACAAGGTATTTGGGCCAGGGAAAACAATTCTTTACTGATATTCACAACCAGCTCATCAGCCAGAGCAACACTGCAGTGTCTGTCTCCCATACACAAACCAAAAGGCAATGCTAAGAAAGCTAATGGAATCTTTCTATTCAAAATAGACTATAACTCATATATAAGGGATATAGAAATGATGGATTTTCTGTGTAGATACATGAGAGGGACAGCCATCATCCTTTCCTCCTGAAAGGAGAAGAAAAAACTTTGCTGCTTTGAGATAAAATGGAAAAGATCCTGATTCCCAAGGTCCCCATCCTAACCTTTGGAATTTACATGCATCTTTGCAAAGGCCAGAGAAACTCCAGGTGTTGCTGACTTTTATGACCTAAAGATGTCTCCAAGTTCTGGGCTTTATCCCTTGTGATATACAGATACCTAGGGAAAGACCACTCCAGTTTTCCTGGTACTTTAGGATTTAACCTAGGAAGCTAGTCCTGGGTAAACCCATCTGGACATCTCAGGAGATAAGAGAAGTTTTATTATCCCTTTAGATCAGAGCAATTAACTAGAAAAAGAGCTATAGCTCTAATTCTTGTGGTATGTGAAGAGTACAATGTTTCTGGGGAAGTGAAAGCAAGTATTTCCTATATTTATATTGTATACATTTCTATGTCTTGAGGGCTAGGGCTTTTTACAGGAACACTGAGAAATCAGGAAGTTATATTCTCCACAAATACGGCAATTTGGCATTCATGGAAAAAGTCTGGTGCATATATATATATGAGTGTGTGTGTATATATATATATCATCTGCAGATATATTTCATCTGCATCCATATATATATATATCTGGACCAGATATATATATATAACTATAAATATATATATTTATATTTTTGAGTTATCAGTAAAATAAAGGTATTCTGATCTATGGGAGAAGAAAAGAGAACCACAGACCTAGCCCTGCTCTCAGAAATCCCAGTGGAAGAGGAATCTAGCAAGGCAGACTGAGGGAATGACACCAGTCAAGACAGGCGCACCAAGAAAGAACATATTAGCAAGCCAAGAGGGAATGGTTGACTATACTGAAAGACTAAGATAAATTCAGAGAACAGGGCCTTGAGTTTGCTCAGAAAGAATCACTGGAAAATTTAAGAAAAATTTTGGTGATGGAGGCAGGAGCCAGTTGTCTGGGGAGGATAATGAATGGGAGGCGATAACATATGTAGACAACTCTAGCTATAAAGGGAAACAAAGCAATAGATGGCAACCTAAGCCAGTGGCTTAAAGCACCTTTTCCCTGACTTAGTTTACCCTTAGTATGATCCCAGTGTCCAAAATCACAGGGCTGGTGTCCTTTTAAGATACTTTACAGAAATGATTCCATTCTATGAAAAGTAAGTGACCTTCCTGGGCAGGAAGGAGAAACAAACTGCTTTCTCCCCCATTCTACTTATTAGTCAATGGCCTCTCACCATGTTGTGTGTGTTCTCTATGGGCCTCCTTGGTTTAGTGTAAACTGATCAGGTTATTCAACTCACACTCCTGAGCTTTGTCAAACACTCCCACAACTTCAATTACCACCTTTACACTGACGGCTCCCAAGTCTACATCTTCAACTCAGGTTTGTCTTCAAGAAACACATAGCCAGCTGCACACTGGGCATCTTTGTTTGCAAGTCTCCCATTGACACTACAGTCTCAATATACCTGAAATTAAATTCATCTTCTTCACCAAAAACCTAGTCTTCTAAGTACCATTCAGGCATTTATTCAACAAATATGCAGTGAGCACTAACTGTATATACCCATTCTGAAAGCTGAAGACAGTTTTTATTTTAAAGAGAGAAAGCAAGAAAGTGAGTAAAAAAGAAAGGGGAAAGCTCATGGAGCTTATACATCCTGGCTGGGGGAGAGAAAGAATGTAAACTAGAAAGCACATAAACAAGATAATTTCAAGTAGTGATGCAGGATGGAAGAAAATAATGGATAGGGTTACAATAGTGACTTGCAGTTTGGGGTGGGAGTCACTTTGGATTGGATAGTCCAGGCAGAGGGACTCAAAAGTGCAAAGAACCTGAGGCAGAGAGGAACGACCAGTGTTGTTGGCAATGATGAAGAAAGAAGGGGGTAGAAAGTGAAAAAGTAGACAAGAATCAGATTATGTAGGGTTTCACAGGCCTTTGGGAGCCTTTTGTAGTTTATTTAACTTGAAATGAGGAACCTGATCTACCCAGGCGCCAAGCAAAAACCTTAGTCATCCATGACTAACTGAACTCTATTAGCATATTGACAAGATCTGTTGGTTCACCCTCTTTTTTTCTACATTAAAATCTGATTAGTTTATTTCCATGCTTAAATCTTGTCCATGGTCTCCTATTGCCCTTAGGGTAGTGTTCACTTAATGTGATTGTTAAAGCTCTCTCCAGTCTAACCCATGCCTTACCCTCCAACTATTAATATATCTCTTTCCACTTAAAACTCCAGTCAACCACTCTGAACTTTCATTTCCTCCCATTTCATTTCTCTTCCCTTTGATCCTTGGCGTGTGCTATTCTTTTTGGATGCTATATTCTGAACCTATGCTACTCTCCCTAAATGTTTAGTTATCTTCTTTTCATCAGTGGTGTTGGCTTATGTCTATCTTAGGAATGCATACTCTGACCCCTAAATTAGCCAAGCTGATCCCACAGTTTTTACAGTACCCAGCACTGGCTCTTTTGGAAGATTCCAAATACTCTGTTGTAATTACTTATATAATGTGTCTCTTCTAGGCTAGATGGTAATGTCCTGGCACAAATGAGCTATTATTTTTTAAATGAAAAACAAATGAAAGAAACCATATTTTCTGTAACCCAAAATTTGAGTAATGATCTGACAAAGGATAGTTTATGAATTTATTATTGTGTTATGAAAAGGGGTCATAGACACCATGGGCACCACGTGGTGTAGACATAAACTAAAGGTTATTGGAGGGAAATTTCCAATACAATTCTCCAAATTCTTATTATCCCACATTTAGGGCAGACATAGGTAGTCTGCACACCCCATGGCCAACAGCCCAGTACTAAGATGCCCACTGCCACAATGCTCTACACATTATAGGATTAGGGAGATAGGGAATGTCTATGCAACCATACAATTATGAACACTCCCTGGTCAGAGAAGTGACTTTGTTAGAGAGGGTAAACCTCTGGAGTCGGGGGATGGTGTCAGATGGTCAGTTCTGTTGAGGTAACTCTGACCTTTTGACACCTCTCTGCCAAGCTACCAAAGGGATGCCAGCCTCTTCCAGATTTGCCTTTCTTCATACGGTATTTAAATGAATTTTTTCAGGTTTTTTAAAGGAACCATTTTATTTTAAATGTGACAGATGATGTGCTTTAAATTTTCTTTTTTCCAATTTTCCAATATTTTATTAGGGTAAAATACGTATGACATAAAATTTATCATCTCAACCATTTTTAGGTGCATAGTTCAATGGTATTAAAATACATTCGCAATGTTGTGCAACCATCACCACCATCCATCTCCAGGACTCTTTTATCTTGTAAAACTAAAACCCTGTACCCATTAAACAACTCTCCATTCCTCCCTGCCCGCAGCCCAACAGAGATATTTTTAAGAGTCATATTATTTTACATTTAATTAATCAGCTTTATTTTTTAAAAAATAAAACACATAAAAAGATGTTTCAAAATTGTAAGAGAAAAAAATACATAGTAGTGCTGAAAATACACATACAACACTCTCGTATTTTCTGTAAGTGTTCTCATCTCTGAAACACTCCTTTAGTTATGCAGAGAAAAAACCTAAACTTGACAATGAAAGGCAAGTTTTAGGCTCTATCAGGCTGCCCCACCCCTTCTGGATAAATTTTCAGTAATTTCCGTGTTTGAACTTCCCGCCAGCCCTGCGTCCCACTGGGCTTCCGGTTCCGCCTCGTCTTAAGGGTTCACCCATGCCTTTTCCTCCGGAAGTGGCCTGCGGATATCACGGTACTTGCATGTGGGAGGGGTGGCTGCACAGTCTGTGTCCTTTCTAACCTGCAGAGAAACGTTCTTGTTCAACAGGACAGTGGTCATCCTGTGGGATCAGCTTCTAAAGTCAGCAGCCAGTGAAAATTGTGTTCTCTTTCCACAATGAAGCAAACTCACCTCTGCATCCTCTGGCATTGCACCTCCTCTGGGTCTCAGCCTCACCTTCCATCTCTCCCTCATGGTAGCCGCCTTCTTGGCAGGGTCCTTGCCTCTCAGGTTTTTTAATACCTTGCACTTTGCCCACTGAAGGCACCTGGAAACTTTTGGAAATCTCCTGTACCATACACCGGCCCTGGGGAACCTGGAGAGGTACTTTGTAAGATACTTCCTCTCCACCTAGACCAGACTGTGTGGCCACCTTGTGGTGTGGTCAACACAACGAAAATCAGGAAATAAGCTCTAGGATTTCCGGAGATTTATCTAGTTGATTGCAACAGGTCATACCAGGAGTGAAAGCAGATGGTAATTTGGGGAAACAAAGAAAGGTACATGTAAGAAGAAGGATATAGGCCGGGCGCGGTGGCTCATGCCTGTAATCCCAGGACTTTGGGAGGCCAAGGTGGGCGAATCACGAGCTCAGGAAATTGAGACCATCCTGGCTAACACGGTGAAACCCCATCTCTACTAAAAACACAAAAAATTAGCCAAGCGTGGTGGTGGGCACATGTAGTCCCAGCTACTTGGGAGGCTGAGGCAGGAGAATGGCATGAACCTGGGAGGCAGAGCATGCTGTGAGCCAAGATCGTGCCACTGCACTCCAGCCTGAGTGACAGTGTGAGACTCTGTCTCAAAAAAAAAAAAAAAAAGAAGAAGAAGAAGAAGAGGAAGGATATAATTATAGAGAAATAGCAGGAGAAAAGTGAAGTACAGGAGTACAGAGATCTGAAAGGGTTGGAGTTGGGAGCATGAGAAAGGAAGTCACTGATTGGGACAGTAGGAGGCTCACTGAAGACCCCAATTTAAACTACTAACAAGTCATTATTTGGTCCAGATGCAGCCTCACCTATACATGGAATCCAAAAGAAGCTCAAAGTAGTGGATCAGGTTCCTCAAAAGAAAGATGACTCAACTTGGAACACCACGGTAGTGACAAGGGTCCAAAAGGCAAGAGCTGAATGTGCCCGAAACTCCAGATCAGAGGGTAAGACTGATGATGGAATCTGCCATTTGAATGGCTTGGTGTGGAAGGGTCTGTCCTGAAGCAGGTACAGGGTTAAGTAGATATGTAAAGTCAATAGAAAGAGGAAAAAGTACAGAGAATGAGGATAGGATATGACAAGAGAGACAAAGAAAGCAAGCATCTCTTGCATCTGAAAAGTTTTTGTGGAAGAAACAGACATGTTCACAGGGACAGCTGTGGCCTGGGGCAGCAGCTGTCAAATTTTTTGGTCTCAGGACTCCTTTATGCTCTCAAAAATTATTGAGGACCCTAAAGAGCTTCTGTTCATGTTGTTTATATCTATCTACGTGTACCTTATTAGAAATTAAAACTAATAATTTTAAAATATTAATTAATGTAAAAGTAACAATAATAAACCAATTGCCTGTTAACATAAATAATGTTATTTTATGAAAAATAAATATATTTTCTAAAACAAAAAAAAAATTAGTGAAAAGAGTGACATCATTTTATGTTTGTGCAAATATCTTTGATCGTGAGTGAGCTTTATAAAAAGACAGCTGGATCCCTATAACTGTTTCTGCATTCATTTGTAATATGTTGCCTTGATTGAAGGATAGAAAGAAAATCTGGCCTCACACAGATATCTAGTTTAAAAGGGTGAAGTAATTTAATAGTCTTTGAGATATCTGTGGATATTCATCTTTAATACTACACCAACACTCAACAAGTGGTAGTTTCTTAAACATTAGTTGTAATGTAAAATTTGAAACCATATCAATTAACTTCATACTCTGTTACAATAAAATACATTAATCCATCTTGCATTTTGAATGGACCTTCTACTAATGCAAAATTTCATAATAGTACAGCCGTTTGGAAAATGTACATTTGGAATTATACAATGAGCTTGTAACTCAATCACACAAGTGTTTTCTTGAGGCCACTGTGGTACTTCAGGATGCAATAGAAATGCTTTATATGTGCTCTTCAGGTTTTCACATAGAATATTAAGATGTAAGATATGTACTCAAGGGTAGAAATTTAATAAAATTAGTAATTTTTACTGGCTTACCACAAACATTCTCAAGTGAATCTTGCTTTTATTTTTATTTTTTGGTACAGTGAGCAGGTGGCAATGAAGGATGCAGTGATTCCTGCTGAGGTTTGGGGACACTGCTTTGATGTGTCCTAAGGCACCAGCAGTTTTATCTGCCATTGCTCTTGCTCAATCTGTACAAAGGTTGAAATAGTGAAAAAGGCAGAGAACATCTTATTATGAAAACAATTCTGACCTTGCAAATTTTCTGAAAAGGTTTGAGGGACCCTCTAGCGTCTCACAGACCTTACTTTGAGAGACTCTGGCCAAAAGGTTCAGATAGCTCTACCCCATTGTGGACGTCTTCATTGGTAGAGTAACCACTGCTAACCAACTGTGGTCTGCTCCTCCCCCGAGTGGCAGACAGGCACAGTGTCATGAGCGGCACCAAATCTCTTGGTAGATACATTCTTAGGAGGGTAAGACCTGGAGCCTCCAGGACACTCAACTTCAAATTGTGCAAGGGCCTTCCTGGGTCTCTGGGAGATTCTCCATAGAGCTTCCCAAGGGGCATTTACTAAGATCTTTTGTTTTCCAGAGATCACTGATTACACTTCAAAAATGAATGAAGGAAAGAGGTCCCAGAAGACGCCTAGCACACCATCAAGGGTCACACAAGGTAAAACTTGGAGATCACTAGTCTCAGAGTACAGTCACCAGGAATCTAAATTCAGAGCTGTTTTACACTAAGGCAATATTTCTTAACTTTTTTTTCATTATCACTGTGCTAGAAAGCCCTTCTGGATTTTTTTTTCTTAATCAAGACCCTTCCCATGATATTTTACTACTACAAATGTATGTCCTTTATATGTAATGTATCCATATGTATGTGTGTATATCTGCACTTTATAAGATTTTTCTCAACACTCAAGAATGAGTTTTTCTGCTCTTGGCATCAGTATCAACATTACTGAGAATGAGTGTCCTAAGTATATTCCTGGTACTGTACTGAAAGTACAACTTGTCCAAAGTACAGCTTGATCCAACCCCTGGATCAAGCTAGAATTCCAATCTCCGTATTTCTCATGTGGCCTTTCTGGGAAAATTGAGAAGCGAAAAACTCATTACAAACACACACGTAACACTATGACTGGGCTTGTGTAACTGGTGGAGTTGTGGGCACATGCTGGTAAAATTGTGCCTGTTAATTCACCCCTCACCATCACTACCATTATTCACATTTCTGGAGTAAGTCGATACCACTATCCTTAGAGGGGAGAAAACAGCTGGATATTCTTCTGTTTTCTGGTGATGTGGTCATTGTCACAAAAATCACAGAACTCTCACATGACAAATGTGATTTTCAAACAACAAATATCTAATTATTGTCAGGAAAATTGATTAAATTTTACCACCTTAAAATCTAAATGATCATTTTTAACAGTTTCTCCTATATTGCACTGACTTATATAGTAGTATTTCAACTTTTCTCATAGATAATTTTATTTTATTCTCACAACCACCCTTGGAGAATATTGAATGACTTATTCTAATTTAACAGATGAGGAAATTGAGACATGGAAAGGATTAGTGGGTTTTTTCAAGATCCCCTGGGTAAGGGCTGGCTGCCACAGGATTAACATCCTGGTCCCCAGGAACTCTTTTCAGGAGCCATCATTCTCCATAGAAAGGAAGGGGCAGAAAGAATACTGTCAAACCTTTGTCAATTCACTATAACCCAAAATAGAAAACTGCTTATTCAAAAATTACTTTCTCATTACTTCCAAGATCCTACGGATAACAGAAATAAACTGTCTTTGGGAAAATCTCCCAGGACAGAGCATAAGCATAAAGAAGAAACTATTTGGTCTCTGTGGTGTGGATTGATGTTACCTTACTGTTATTACGCCATTCTGGGCCATAAAAGACATCCAAGCCAGAAAAAGCCTTATGCTTTTTAAAATCATGATTTAACTTTTTTTCAACATAGAAAAGTTCCTGGACTTTTCTAAAAGCAGTGTGCTGTAACCATTAGGATTATGTTGCTGGCTCAGCACAGTGGCTCATGCCTGTAATCCCAGCGCCTTGGGAGGCTGAGGCAGGAGGATCACTTGAGGCCAGGAGTTCAAGACCAGCCTGGCCAACATGGTGAAACCCCATCTCTATTAAAAATACAAAAATTAGCCTGGGGGTGCATACCTGTTATGCCAGCTACTCAGGAGGCTGAGGTGTGAGAATCACTTGAACCCAGGAAGCGGAGATGGGAGTGAGCTGAGATTATGCCACTGCACTCCAGCCTGTATAACAGAACAAGATTCTGTCCCCCAAAAGAATTTTTAATGACATATTTTAAGTGTTAGTTCTCTAGTATATTTCTGATCCATCTTCATTCAATCCCCAAATTCAATTTCCAGGTAAAATGGAGTACTTTTTTCACATAGGTCACATGGTTTTCTTGCATTCTCAAAGTGATGGGAAAACAAGAAAAAAATTACTTAAAGAAATATTGACATTGCAGGTTTGTAGATCAATATTTGTAGCCATAAAAGATGTGGGACTTTTTTCTTTTTTAGAAGAAAGGAGAAAAGAATATGGCCAGTCAAGTTCGAAAAGAAAACAGAAAAAAAAACTCTCAAGAGGTAAGCAAGAAAAGTGAAGTGGTTACTCCCTTGGTGTTTATCAAGGCCTTCACCTGACCAGCTGGCATGACCTCCTCTCCAGCCACATGGCCACTCAGTTGTGCCTGGAGCACAGCCAGCCCCAACCTTGTTCCCTAGGCCACCCCATCAGTAGACTCCCCCACAAAGGAAGAGAGAACCTAACACCAACCTGGTTTATACCTAGCCTTCTTTTCTCTTATCATAGGGAGGGAATGGGGTTGAGGTGGACACGAGACATCAGACAATTTTGAGATTAGGATTGTTTCCTGTCTAGGGTCAGAGCCCAGAAGAATAGGTACAAGAAACCTAAATCCCCAAGCAAGATTCAGACTTTCAGTTCCAAACTGGGATTAGATTTGGAGTCATAGAGTGTTCAGAACTACCTCAGCCAACCCATGCTTGCTTGCATGTCTACATGCATGTTTCTATTCCAGTGCACAAACTGCATTACTTGCAGAATAAGAAACAAAAAAGCTTCATTTTTCTGGTTACTCTGCTTCATACCACTTTTCTTTTTCTCCACTGTATTCTCTCCCTCTTCCCTTTCCCTGTTCCTTACTTTTTCCCTTCTTATTTTTTTTAAATTTATTTTGTAAATTTTTTGTAGAGACCAGGTCTTGCTATGTTGCCCAGGCTGGTCTTGAAATCCTGGCCTCAAGTGATCCTCTTGCCCTAGCCTCCCAAAGTTCTGGGATACAGGTGTGAGCCACTGCACCTGACCCCTTGTTCTTTGTTCTTTTACTCAAAATTATTTACAAAGGGCCTGAGATATGCCAGTCAGTGGGGATTCTCTTGGATTCTGTGCCTTTATGGGAGCCAGCCTGGGAAGGGATCTTGTCCCAGCTGCCAAACATGAATTAGGACACAAGGCTCACTGCTTTGGAAATCCTTCTAATTTTTCTGCTTGTTCCCAGCATCCCTCAATCTTGGGGTTTGGCCTGGAAGGAAAGTCATATCTGCCTGCTTGGCCTTCTCCTCCCTGGCCTCTTCTTCCTGGTTCCCCACCCCTCTGCCTCCCTAGGCTGGATGAAACATACTCTCTGTCATTTTCTGAGTGTTTACTACCAATGACTTATAGGAAAACTTGACATTCAGACCTCCAAAGTTTTCTTTTGATAGGTACAGGTAATTTTTGGAGTTTATAAATTGTTGCTCCCAACAAATACTGTGCTTCAAGATTTTGTCTAAGCTTGCCAAAATGGCCTTAACTGAGCATGGCTTCTCAGTTCTAGCCAGCATCTTCCCTCCACCTGAAACCTATTGATGTAATAATAGTCAGGGAAATCTTTACTATTTGCAAAGATGAAAAATATATACTTCCTCAGCAGAAACCTTACAAGCTAGAAGGGATTGGAGTCTTATCTTTAGTCGCCTTAAACAGAATAAATAACTCTCAGCCAAGAATTTTGTGTCTGGCAAAACTAAGTTTTATGAATGAAGGAGAAATAAAGTCATGTTTAGACAAACAAATGCTGAGAGAATTTGTCACTACCAGACCAGCTTTATAAGAAATGCCAAAACGAGTTCTAAATCTTGAAACAAAAGGTTGATATGCACCAAAATACAAACTCTTGAAAGCATAAAATTCACAAGGTCTGTAAATAACACAATGAAGAAAACAGAGTGTGTAGGTGACAATTAACATGATGACTGAAACAGTACCTCACATCTTGATATTAATGTTCAACATAAATGGGCCTAAATGCTCCACTTAAAAGAAACAGATTGGCAGAATGGATACAAAATCACAAACCGAGTATCTACTATCTTCAAGAGACTCACTTAACACATATAAATTCAAGATATAAGGGTGAAAAAAGATATTCCATGCAAATGGAAACCAAAGCAAACAGGAGTAGCTTTTCTTAGATAAAACAGACTTTAAAGCAACAACAGTAAAAAAAAAAAAAAAAAAAAAAAAAAAACACACAAAGAAAGTCATTATATAATGAAAAAAGCATCAATCCAACAGGAAGATATTACAATCCTAAATTTATATGTAGCTAACACTGGAGTTCCCAGATTCATAAGACATTTACCACTAGACCTAAGAAAAGAGATAGACAACAACACAATAATAGTGGGGAACTTCAATATTCCACTGTCAGCACCAGAGAGATCATTGAGACAGAAAGTCAACAAAGAAACAATAGATGTAAACTACACTCTAGAACAAATAGACCTAATAAATATTTACAGAAGATTACATTCTTCTCATCAGCACAGGGAACATTCTCCAAGACAAACCATATGATAGGCCACAAAACAAGTCTCAGTAAATTTTTATAAATTGAAATTATAGTTTGATGGGAATAGCATTGAATCTATAAATTACTTTGGGCAGTATGGCCATTTTCAAGATATTGATTCTTCTTATCCATGAAGATGAAATGTTTTTCCATTTGTTTGTGTCCTCTCTTATTTCTTTGAGCAGTGGTTTGTAGTTCTTCTTGAAGAGGTCCTTCACATCCTCTGTTAGCTATATTCCTAGCTATTTTATTCTATTTGTGGTAATTGTTAATGGGAGTTCATCATGATATGGCACTCTGCTTGCCTTTTGTTGGTGTAAAGGAATGCTTGTGATACTTACACTTTTATTTTTGTATCCTGAGACTTTGCTGAAGTTACTTATCAGTTCAAGAAGTTTTTGGGCTGAGATGATGGAGTTTTCTAAATATATAATCATGTCATCTGCAAACAGAGACAACTTGACTTTCTCTCTTCCTGTTTGAATACTCTTTATATCTTTCTCTTGCCTGATTACCCTGGCCAGAACTTCTAATACTATGTTGAATAGGAGTGGTGAGAGAGGGCATCCTTGTCTTGTACTGGTTTTCAAAGGGAATGCTTCCAGCTCTTACCCATTCAATATGATATGGCTATGGGTTTGTCATAAATAGCTCTTATTATTTTGAAATATGTTCCATCAATACCTAGTTTATTGAGGGTTTTTAACATGAAGGGATGTTGAATTTTATCAAAGGTCTTTTCTGCATCTATCAAGATAATTATGTGGTTTTTATCTTTGATTCTCTTTGTGTGATGGATTACGTTTATTTATTTGCATATGTTGAAGCAGTCTTGCATCCCAGACATGAAACTGACTTGATCAAGGTGGATAAGTTTTTTGATGTGCTGCTGGATTCGGCTTGCCGGTATTTTACTGAGGACTTTTGTATTGATGTTCATCAGGGATATTGCCCTGAAATTTTCTTTTTTTGTCTCTTCCCAGTTTTGGCATCAGAATGATGCTGGCTTCATAAAATGGGTTAAGGAGGAGTCCCTCCTTTTCAATTGTTTGTAATAGTTTCAGAAGGAATGGTACCAGCTCCTCTTTGTATTTCTGGTAGAATTTTTTTTTTTTTTTTTTTTTTTTTTGCTTGCATGCCTGAATGCATGTGTCTACTCCAGGGCACAAACTGTGTTAGTTACAGAATAAGAAACAAAAAAATTCAGCTGTGAATCTGTCTGGTCCTGGCCTTTTTTTGGTTGATAGGCTATTAAGTACTGCCTCAATTTCAGAGCTGTTATTGGTCTATTCAGGGATTCAGCTTCTTCCTGGTCTAGTCATGATAAGGTGTATGAGTCCAGAAATTTATCCATTTCTTCTAGATTTTCTAGTTTATTTGTGTAGAGGTGTTTATAGTATTCTCTGATGGTAGTTTGTATTTCTGTGGGACCAGTGATTATATCCCCTTTATCATTCTTATTGTCTCTATTTGATTCTTCTCTCTCTTCTTCTTTGTTAATCTGGCTAATGGTCTATTTTGTTAATTTTTTCAGAAAACCAGCTCCTGGATTCATTGATTTTTTGAGGGGAGTTTTTCATGTCTCTGTCTCCTTTAATTCTTCTCTGATCTTAGCTATTTCTTGCTTTCTGCTGACTTTTGGATTAGTTTGCTCTTGCCTCTCTAGCTCTTTTTTTTTTTTTTTTTTTTTTTTTAATGGACTTTCACTCTTGCTGTCCAGGCTGGAGTGCAATGGCGCAATCTTGGCTCGCTGCAACCTCCACCTCCTGGGTTCAAGAGATTCTCCTGCCTCAGCCTCCTGAGTAGCTGGGATTATAGGCATGCGCCACCACACCTGGCTAATTTTGTATTTTTAGTAGAGATGGGGTTTCTCCATATTGGTCAGGTGGGTCTCAAACTCCCGACCTCAGGTGATCCACCTGCCTTGGCCTCCCAAAGTGCTGGGATTACAGGTGTAAGCCACCACACCCAGCCTCTAGCTCTTTTAATTGTGATGTTAGGGTGTCAGTTTGAGATCTTTCTAGCTTTCTGACATGGGCATTTAGTACTATAAGTTTCCGTCTTAACACTGCTTTAGCTATGTCCCAGAGATTCTGGAATGTTGTCTCTACATTCATCACAGAATTAGAAAAAACTGTTTTAAATTCAATATGGAATCAAAGAAGATTCCAAATAGCCAAGACAATCCTAAGGAAAAAGAACAAAGCTGGAGGCATCACACTACCTGACTTCAAACTATATGACAAGGCTACAGTAACCAAAACAGCATGGTACTGGTACCAAAGCAGACATTTAGACCAATGGAGCAGAATAGAGACCTCAGAAATAACACCACGCATCTACAACCATCTGATCTTCGACAAACCTGACAAAAACAAGCAATGGCAAAAGGATTCCCCATTTAATAAATAATGCTGGGAAAACAGGCTAGCCATATGCAGAAAATTGAAACTGGACCCCTTCCTTACACCTTATACAAAAATTAACTCAAAATGAATTAAAGATGTAAATGTAAAACCCAAAACCATAAAAATCCTAGAAGAAAACCAAGGCAATACCATTCAAGATGTAAGTGTGGGCAAAGTCTTCATGACAAAAACGCCAAAAAGCAATTGCAAGAAAAGCCAAAATTGACAAATGGGGTCTGATTAAACTAAAGATCTGCACAGCAAAAGAAACTAGCATTAGAGTGAACAGGCAACCTACAGAATGGGAGAAAAATTTTGCAATTCACCCATCTGACAAAGGTTTAATATCCAGAATTTACAAGGAACTTAAATCTATTTACAAGAAAAAAAAAAAAAACCCATCAAAAAGCGGGCAAAGGATATGAACAGACACTTCTCAAAAGAAGACATTTACATGGCCAACAAACATACGGGAAAAAAAACTCAACATCACTGATCATCAGAGAAATGCAAATCAAAACCACAATGAGATACTATCTCATGCCAGTCAGAATGGCAATTATTAAGAGATCAGAAAACAACAGATGCTTTTGAGGCCATGGAGAAATAAGAATGCTTTTACACTGTTGGTGGGAATGTGAATTTGTTCAATCATTGTGGAAGACAGTATGGTAATTCCTCAAGGATCTGGAACCAGATATACCATTTGACCCAGCAATCTCATTACTGGGTATATACCCAAAGCAATATAAATTATTCTATTATAAAGACACATGAGTGTGTGTGTTTATTGCAGCAGTATGTACAATAGCAAAGGCATGGAACCAACCGAAATGCCCATCAATGATAGACTGGATAAAGAAAATGTGGTACATAGAATACTATGCAGCCATGAAAAGTAATGAGATCATGTCCTTTGCAGGTACATGGATGAAGCTGGAAGCCATCATCCTTAGCTAACTAACACAGGAACACAAAACCAAATACCACATGTTCTCACTCATAAGTGGAAGTTGATCATTGAGACCAAATGGACATAAAGAGGGGAACAACACACACCAGGGCCTGTTAGGGGGTGGGGGGGTGAGGAGGGGAACTTAGGGGGGGTCAATAAGTGCAGCAAACCACCATGACACATGTATACTTATGTAACAAACCTGCACATTCTGCACCTGTATCCCGTTTTGGGGGTTGTTTTTAGAAGAAAAATATTGAAATTATATCAAGTATCTCCTCAGACCACAGTAAAATAAAACTAGAAATCAACTCCAAAAGGAACTTTCAAAACCATAGAAATAAATGGAAATTAAATAACCTGCTCCTGAATGATTTATGGGTTAACACTGAAATTAAGATGGAAATTTAAAAATTATTTGAAATGAATGGTAACAGTGACATAAATTAACAAAACCTCTAGGATACAGCAAAAGCACTGCTTTTAAGAGGAAAGTTTATAGCACTAAATGCCTACATCAAAAATTCTGAAAGATCACAAACTGACAACCTAATGTCACGTCTCAAGGAGCCAGAAAAACCCAAAGCTAGCAGAAAAAAAGAAAGATGAGAGCAGAACCAAATAAAGTTGACACAAAAAATAAAAAAGATCAATGAAACAAAAAGCTGGTTCTTTGAAAAGATAAATAAAATGGATAGAACATTGACTAGAATAACCAAAAAAAGAAGAGAGAAGTTTCATATAAACTCAAAGTAGAAATGAAACTGGAGACATTACAACTGACATCAGAGAAATACAAAAGATCATTCAAGACTACTGCGAGCACCTCTCTGCACAAAACTAGAAAGATCTAAAGGAAATGAATAAATTCCTGGAAACATACATCCCTCCTAGATTAAATCGGGAATAAATAGAAACCATGAACAACCAATAAGAAGCAGTGAGATTGAATCAGTAATTTTTAAAATGCCAACAACAACAAAAAGCCCAGAGCCAGATGCACTCACAGCTGAATTCTACCAGACATTTAAAGAAGAATTGGTGCCAATACTACTGAAACGATTCCAAAAGGTTAAGAGGGAATCCCCTAACTGATTCTGTGAAGCCAGTGTCACCCTGATATCAAAACCAGGAAAGGACATGATAAAGAAACAACAGACCAGTATCCCTGATGAACGTAGTTGCAAAAATCCTCAACAAAATACTAGCTAACTGAATCCAGCAGCCTATCAAAAATATAATACACCATGATCAAGTGGATTTAATCCCAGGGATTTAGGGATGGTTTAACACATGCAAGTCAATAAATGTGGTACATCACAAAAACAGAATTTAGAACCATAGATCATTTCAATAGATGCAGAAAAAACATTTGATAAAATCCAGCATCCCTTTAGATAAAGATCCTCAACAAACTAGGCATAGAAGGGGCTTACCTCAAAATTGTAAAAGCCATATATGGCAAACCCACAGTCAATGTGATACTAAATGGGAAAAAGCCTAAAGCATTCCCCCTGAGAACTGGAACAAGACAAGGATGCCCACTTTCATCACTTCTATTCAACATAGTACTAGAAGTCCTAGCCAGAACAATTAGGCAAGAGAAAGAAAGAAATGACATCCAAATTAGAAAAGAAGTCAAAGTATCGCTGTTCATTAATGATATGATCATATACCTAGAAAACTCTAAAGACTCCTTCAGAAGACTCCTAGATTTGATAAATGAATTTAGTAAAGTCTCAGGTTACTAAATCAAATATACAGAAATTAGCACTGCTATACACCAACAGCGACCAAGCTGAGAATCAAATCAAGAACTCAATCCCTTTCACAACAACTTCAACAAAATAAAACAAAATACCTAGGAATATACTTATCCAAAGAGATGAAAGATCTCTACAGGGAGAACTTAAAAACACTGCTGAAAGAAATCATAGATGACACAAACATATAGAAACATATCCCATGCTCATGGATTGGAAGAATCAATATGAAAATGATCATACTGCCCAAGGCAATCTACAGATTGAATGCAATTCTTATCAAAATACCAACATCATTTTTCACAAAATTAGAAAAAATAATCTTAATATTCATGTGGAACCAAAAAAGAGCCTGCATAGCCAAAACAATCCTAAGCAAAAAGAACAAATCAGAAGGCATCACATTACCAGATTTAAAATTATACTACAAGGATATAGTTACCAAAACAGCATGATACTGTTATAAAAGTGATACATAGACCAATGAAATAGAATAGAGAACTCAGAAATAAAGCCAAATACAACCAACTGATCTTTGACAAAGCATACGAAAACATAAATTGGGGAAATTATATCCTAATAAATAAATGGTGCTGGGAAAACTGGCTAGCCACATGTAGAAGAATGAAACTGGATCCCTATTTCTCACCTGACACAAAAATCAACTCAAGATGGATCAAAAATTTAAACCTAAGGCCTGAAACCAGAAAAATTCTGTAAGAAAACCTAGGAAAAACTCTTCTGGACATTGACCTAAGCAAAGAATGCATGACTGAGACCCCAAAAGCAAATGCAACAGAAACAAAAATAAATAAATGGGACTTAAATTAAACTGAAAAACTTCTTTGTAGGAAAGGAAATAATCATCAGAGTAAACAGACAACCCATAGAATGAGAGAAAATATTTGCAAATTATGCATCCAACAAAGAACTAATATCCAGAATCTACAAGAAACTCAAACATTACAGGGAAAAAAAATCCCATCAAAAAGTGGGCAAATGACATAAATAGACATATTTCAAAAGATGTACGAATGGCCAAAAAAATCCGAAAAAATGCTCAGCATCACTAATCATCAGGGAAATGCAGATTAAAACCGCAATGAGATACCACCTTACTCCTGCAAGAATGACCACTATTAAAAAGACAAAAAAAAAAAAAAAAAAAGATGTTGACAAGGATGTGGTGAAAAGGGAATGTTTATACACTGCTGGTGGGAGTGCAAATTAGTACAACCTCTATGGAAAACAGTATGGAGATTTCTTAAAGAACTAAAAGTAGAACTACCATTCAATCTAGCAACCCCACTACTAGGTATCAACCCAAAGGAAAATAAATCATTATATCAAGAAGACACCTGCACACATTTATTGCTACATAATTCACAATTGTAAAGATACGGAACCAACCTGAGTGCCCATTGACCAACGAATGTGTAAAGAATATGTAGTATATATACACCATGGTGTACTACTCAGCCATAAAAAAGAATGAAATAATGTCTTTGGCAGCAACTTAAATGGAGCTGGAGGCCATTATTCTGAGTGAGGAAATGGAATGGAAAACCAAATACTGTATGTTCTCACTTATAAGTGGGAGCTAAGATATTAGTGCTCAAAAACATACAGAGTGACATAATGGATTATGGAGACTCAGAAAGGGGAGGGAAGAAGAGGAATAAAAAACTATGTATTGGGTACAATGTACACTACTCAGATGAAGAGTGCACTAAAGTCTCAGACTTCACCATTATATAATTCATCCATGTAACCAAAAACCACTTGTACCCCAAAAGCTATTGAAATAAAAACAAACTAAAAAGAAAAATACATTTAATATTTTCAAAAATTTAGTGCCTATTAAACATTCATTCAGCAATGGAGTATAAGGTGTGGGCCAGGTATCTGTCCTAGGTCCTGGGAACTCAGCAGTGAGAAAGACAGACACAAATCCCTACACTAGTGGAACTTGCATTCTAACTGATATACCTATAATTACTAAACAAAATGAGGACTTGAAAAAGAGAAATAGAAGGAAGTATTGTGAGTCTGGGGGAGAAGAAAGATACACACAAGAGAAGAGAGAATTATGGAGAAATTACAAGATAACTCCTGAAAGGGTAGGGGCTGGGAACATGAGAAGGGAGCTCACTAAACCATTCACAAATCTGTTTGGTCCAATGGCAACCTCACCTGGGCATGGCATCAAAGAGAAGCTCCAAGTGGTGGATAAGGTGACTGGAAGGATAGACGACTCAACCTGGAACTCAAAGGTCATGATGAGCATCCAAAAGGCAAGAACTGAATGTGCCCAGAAGTCCAGATCAAAAGGTAAGACTAATGATGAAATCTGCTATTTGAATAGCTCAATGTATGAGGGTCTCCTGGAGCATGTACAGGGTCAGATAGATATGTAAAGTCGATAGTAGAAGGAGGGAGATGTACAGATAAGAGGGACATGAAGACAGAGCATGGATCTGTTGATGTGACAGTGGTTGTTGGAAGAACTGTTCTCGGGGTGCAGTTCACCTTGGCTTTGCCATGTGGATTTACATGACCACTCCCCAGTGTCTGCTGTTTTCATTTCTATGATTAGAGTCGCCACTACTCTCTTGAGTTTGGGAGACTCCTTTCTGGTTCTGGCCAACCCAGTCTTGGAAGTGGCACCAATCCTCAGAGTGGACACATTTGCAAGATTATTTTTTAATGTTTCATTTCTAGAAGTGAAGTTGCTTGGTCAAGCCTGCATTTTTAAATTAGGACATATTTGTTGTCAAATCGCCTAAATTATCTGTTTATACTCCCTTTAACATCATACAGACACCTTTTCCCTCCATTTTCTCCAACACTAGAAGTAACAAGATGTGTCTATGATGACTGCCAAAGGTGAAGAGTGATATTTCACTGGTGTTTCCCTTTGAATTTCTTTGCACTAGGCAGGTGATCGAACATGCTGTGGTAGGTTATATTACAGTTCTCCAGTGTTCCAGTGCCCCACCTCCTCAGAAGTCCACAGCCCTGCCCTGTGGACTCAGGAATGCCCATGTGATAACTTAGCCAAAGAAATGTGGACCCAAGTTAGAGAGCCACTTTCAGGCCAAGGCTTTAAAAGCCCCTTTGTCTCCTTTCTGTCTGCCCAAGACCAGGAATGTTCTAGACAGAGGCTGCTCTGTCTGCAGGAGCCATGAGTGTCAGTGATGTAGGGCTGAGCCTCATCTAATTTATGATGAACAAACAGCATGAGAGAGAGGTAAACCTTTGTCATTGTAAACCAGAGCTTGGCAATTTTTTTCCAAAAAGGACCAGAAGATGCACGTACCTGACTCTGCCTTTGTAGCGTGACAGCAGCCAGAGGCAAATACATAGAGAAATGGGTGTGGCTATATTCCAATAAAACTTTATTTACATAAACAGGCAGTAGGCCAATTTGGCCCTTAGACCATAGTTTGCTGACACCTGTAATAAAACACTGAGATCTGGAGGATTGTGAATTACCACAGCATTACCTAGCCTATCTTTACCAATTTACCTGTTTTTTAAATAAATTTGACATTGGAATTTTTTCTTTTGAGGCTCATCTGTTTGAATTTGCCCATTTTTCTATAGGAATGGCCATTTTTTGTTTAATCAGTTAGGGAGATTAACCCTTTGTTATAATTATTGCAGTTTTTCTGATTTTGTTTCTGTCTTTGAACTTAAGAAGCTTTTGGTTGTGCAGCCATCTGCTTAGTTAGCTAGACAAATCAGTTTACCTTTAGCAGTATGGTTTATGCCAGAGTTTCTCAATCTTGGCATTATTGACATTTTGGACTGAATAATTCTTCGCTTCGGAGGCTGTCCTGTGTGTCATCGGATGTTTAGCAACAGCTCTGGCCTCTACCCATTAGATGCCAGTAGCACCTGCTTCCCAGTCCTGACAAACAAAATGATTTCCAAACATTGCCAGATATCCCTGAGAGCAAAGTCACCCAGTGTTAACCACTGCTTTATGCCCATTACTTCCTCCTTAAAAAGCCCTTCCTATGTGATATTTATAAGGCCATACAGTAGCCCCCCTTTATAAGCAGTTTTTTGTTCCATGATTTCAGTTACCTGGAGTCAACTGCAGTTTGAAAATCTTAAATGGAAAGTTCCAGAAATAAACAATTTATAAGTTAAAAATTATGTGCTGTTCTGAGTAGTGTGACGGTCTTGCACCATCCTGCTGTATCCCACTCGGGGATGTGAATCCTCTCTTGATCCAGTGTGTCTTACTGTATATGCAGCGCACCCATCAATCACTTAGTAGCTGTCTTGGTTTTGAAGAATCATAGTATCTGCAGGGGTGTCCACTACCCATGGTTTCAGGTATCCACTGGAGGGCTTGAAACATATGGCCTGTGGATAAGGGGGGGACTCCTGTACATCCCTTTATTCTAGTATTTGTAGTAAATGTATTGATATATATTGATTCGTGGAAATTTGGCTTCTGTAGTATTTTTAGTTTTTCTGTCTTTTAACATGAGCTTGCTGTATTTCCTTAGTCAATGCTGCAAGGAAGTCCTTTCGTAAGGACTCATATGTAACTTGTCTCTCCAAACTGGTAGAAAAACAGGAAAAAATACTTTAAGATTGTTAACATATGAGTCTTATAAATCTACATTTGTAGCTATAAGTGATTATTAATTCTGTTTTTAGAAAATAAAAAGGAAAAAGATATCTGTTCAAGTTCAGAAAGGAAATTTCAGAAAAATATTCACTGAAGAAGCAAGCAAGCAAGCCACAGCGCCTCCCTCTTGGGTTCCCCAGAGCCCTGGCCTCTGCTGCAGGCTCCACCCGCTGTCTCCTTCTCTCTCCCTTCTTCCACCGTCCTTGTCCTTCTCCTCCGAAGTTGTTCTCCACCCTCATGGGTACCAGCTGAATTGGGTGCATCAGGAGTGCTGCCAGCCTAACAACCCACCCACTTGTGCACGGTGGCTATTTCCATACTTGGAAGGATTCTTTAACACAGAGCTGTACAAAGACCCAAAAATGATTAAGGATGATCACTAAACCTTTAAGTCAAGTTCTAAAATAAACTTCTATGTCTTCCATTCTAGGAATTAAAGGAAACCCTTATTCAAGCACAGCCTGACAGTGTTCTCGTTCCTTTTCCTGTGTTGGTTGGGACCCTGGGCTTGCTTCAGCCTCTCTGTCCCTCCGGCCTCTCTGCATCTCTGTCCTCTCCCTCCCATTCCTCTTCTTGCATTTATTTTTCTTCTGCTTTTATACCTCACTTCTTCAGCGTCATTTCTTGTCACCCTCTCTTCCTTTTTTAGTCTCCAGCCACTTTGGCCCTTTTCATTCATTATCGAAGTATAGTAGGTGCTACGCAAGGTGAGAACCCCAGACTGGTGTCATTGACAAGCATGTTGGTTGCAGGTCTACGAGAATAAGGAGCTTGTAAACCAACTGTGATGCTAAGCACACTGTTTTCATAGCTAGACTCCTCAGTGGCAACAGCAGTGCATTGATTCTGATCAAGCCCCTGTCCCGTCGTAGGTTGGAGCATTGAATAGCACTGGTAGATGTGCTTGCAGAAAATGCATGTATCCTAAGAGTACAGCTTGATGGATTCACACACACAGAAAAAGCACCCACATACCCAGCATGCAACTCAAGACACAGGATGTCACCAACACCCATAAACCACCCCTACCCATGTCTCTAGGGTCACATCAGCCTGACTCCTCACAGCATAGGTCATCAGATACTGAATGCTGCTACTTCGTTCCTGCTCAGTACCTCCTCACATGGGCCTCCCCACTCACCCCCCCAACCCCAAAGCTAATCCCCTTATCCTCCTCCCTTTCCTTGCTATACACCCTCAGACCTCACCTTTTCTTTAAAAAAATTTAAGTTCTGGGATATATGTACAGGTTTGTTACATAGGTAAATGTGTGCCATGGTGGTTTGCTGCACCTATCAACCCATCCCATAGGTATTAAGCCCAACATGCATTAGCTATTTATCCTGGTGCTCTCCCTCCTGCTCCCCTGACAGGCCCCAGTGTGTGCTGTTCCCCTCCCTGTATCCATGTGTTCTCATTGTTTAACTCCCACTTATAAGTGAGAATATGCGGTGTTTAGTTTTCTGTTCCTGCATTAGTTTGCTGAGGATAATGGCTGCAAGCTCTAATCATGCCCCTGCAAAGAACATGACCTTGTTCCTTTTTATGGCTGCATAATATTCCGTGGTGTATATGTACCACATATTCTTTACCCAGTCTATAATTGATGGATATTTAGGTTGAGCCCATGTCTTTGCTATTGTGAATAGTGCTGCAGTGAACATACACATGCATGTATCTTTATAATAGAATGATTTATATTCCTTTGGGTGTATACCCAGTAATGGGATTGCTTGCTGAGTCAAATGGTATTTCTGGTTCTAGGTCTTTGAGGAATTGCTACGAGGTCTTTCACAATGGTTGAACTAATTTACATTATCACCAACAGTATAAAAGTGTTCCTATTTTTTCACAGCTTTGCCAGCATCTGTTGTTTCTTAACTTTTTAATAATCGCCATTCTGACTGGCATGAGATGGTATCTCATTGTGGTTTTGATTTACAGTTCTCTAATGCTCAGTGATGTGGAGCTTTTTTTCATATGTTTATCAGCTGCATAAATGTCTTCTTATGAGAAGTGTCTGTTCATGTCCTTTGCCCACTTTTTAAAGGTGTTGTTTTTTTTTCTTGTAAATTTGTTTAAGTTCCTTGTAAATTCTGGATATTAGACCTTTGCCCTCAGACCTCACCTTAAATGTCACTTCCACAGGGAAGCATTCTCTCTCCCAGCAGGTGGGGGTGGGTCTCCCTGACATGCCCTTGTGGAGACCTGCATTTTGTCTTCATGGCACTTATCTTAACTGTGATGAATGATCTGTGCACAGCCTGTTCACTGTGCAAAAGTCACGTGAGGTCAGTAAGCGGATGGGTCTTGCGCGTTGCTGTATGTCCAGCTCCCCATGCCTCACACAGCTGGTACTTCTTCATCAAGTTATGAACACCAGTATCTGGGCCCATCTGATGCATGTGTGTGAGTTAGAAAAAGGTGCCCCTACCTCAATTCACTACCTCATCTGTCACAGCCAATTCTTGAAACCAAACCCTTTTCTGCCATCTTCTGGAAGATTGTTGTACTAAGCAGGTACACTGATTCTGTTTCTAATATGAATCAGAGCACCCCTTAAGGATGGAGTCCTTGCTCAGGGCACAACCCATCAACTTTATGCAGAGGTCCTGATGAACATATAAATGTGTACCTTACATCACAGTTGGCAAAGCACTCTGATCCACATTTTGCCATTTAATTCCCATAATAAGTAAGTGTTATCAGCCCGTTTTACAGATTCAATTAAAGGGTAAAAGACTTGAATGAGCTAAAATCAACCTGTGTGTTCCAATTTCCAGCCCTTTTTCCTTTACACGAAAAATGTACATGAACCCAGATTCCACCTCGTCTCAAACACTGATGGAGGCAGGAGCCCTGGCAAACGTTGACAGTTGTCCCTCAGCATCAGTTTCTTCTCCCTTCTGCCCTATCCGTAACTTCTCATTAAACACCGAGTATCTGTGCTGCTGTCGCTTGTATGATGTGGAGTCTCGTGGCATTTCTGATGATGTGGAAAGAGTGCTAGATACTGGGTCTGGCCTGTCTCAATTCCAGTGCCAGCTCCACCTCATGTAATGTGGTGACCACTGGCAATTCTCTCTCCACATCTGAGCCCAAGTCCCTCATCTATAAAATGGGGACAGTCGTTGCCTTCTCATTCTTACACATTGTTGTGAGGATAGACGACACAGTGCATCTGCTGCTCTTACTATTTCCTTGACTATCACTTTTCTCCTTACCACCCCATCTCCACCCCCCGCCATCCCCTTCCCACACCCCTCGTGTATACATCATAGAGCTCCCAAATCATTCCCCAGGACTGTGGTCTTTCCATGCATAATTTCCACCTTGTGCTTCTTCCCCACATTCTGTAGGAATTCCCGGAGTTGATCTTCTGGATTATGAATTCGTTTTTTACCATGCCGCTATTTCTCGTCTGGATTCAGCTTTTCTTCTTAATTTTCTCCACCTTGCTTTTCCTTTCCCTGAGCTCTCTCTTCTCTAATTGCTTGCTTTTCACAGCAGGTTCCTCGTTGTTTGCTCACGCTTCCTAATGGGGACCGAAATCCACCGCTGCTGCAGCTCACTTTACAAAGGAACCAGCTGATGTTAGAGAGCCCCAAGCATCCCCCACAGGGTTCCTGGGGCTGCAGGGTTTCATCCTTCAAGGCCTGGTTGCTGAGATGAGTAGGTGAGACTGAGTCAAAGTCAGCACTATTGGGAACAGGCCAGAAAGCTGCCCTGAGGCATAGGACAGCTGGCTTTGGAAGTCCTTGGGCCTAAAAGCCCCACTTCACTTGATGACTTGCCTCCACTGGGTAAGGAAGGGACTGATGCTTGTCCCCATGACTCTGCACATCCGCTTGCTACCCGTGGCCCCCAAAACCACCCCCTGCTCCCTCATCTGCTTGTGAATGTGTTTGGGACGTTTGTGTTCACTAAAGCTATATTCACCACAGGGAATTAGAGAAGACATTTCTCTGGAGACAGAGAACTGTAGAAGGTCCCCATAGCTGTGCTAATCTCCCTCAAGGTTTGCAACAGTGGTCCAGAGTCACCTGGAGCTCCGCCTTTCACCCACATTAGGAACCTGCGGCAGCAAGTTTCCCACTCAAATCTGATAACAGTAATTCACGCTTAGGTAATCCTTCTAGTAAGTGGCAGAGCCAGGATTATAAGCCCCTCCCACCCCCACCCCTGCCCACACCCTAGTCTGGCTCCCAAGGACACGCTCTCATCTGCTGTGCCATATTTACTGAGTAGAGTCTAGAGACAAATGGTGGAGCTGGCCCCTCCATGCAAGAGGGCTGCTGTTGAAACAAAGTTTTTCCCACCCTAAGTTCCCACACACCCCCTACCTTCCACCCCCATGCCTAGCCTTGCTGCCAGCCTCTGCTCCTGTGAGGCCAGGCGTCCTGTAGGGTTCTGTCGGGGGGATTACATCCTCACTTCTCAGTGTCCCTCCTTTCTCAGTCTGACTCTACCTGCCTTGTATCTTTCCAGAGAAATGAATGGCTTCTTCACCACTGATGCTGTTCCTTCCTCTTTCCATCAATGCTCTTGTTTTGCCATTTGTTTTCCTTTAGCTCTTTCAATAACCGTTTGAGGCAAGGGAGAGAGTTGGACCAGATGTTCTCCTAGGCTCATTTTAGGTGTAATATCCTCTATAACTCAACATAAGACATGGACAGCCCCTTCATTTCTCCCCAGAGAAACAGCCCCTGCTGTCTTTCTTTAATGAATTCACCCATAGTGAGGTTGGAGGGGAAGGCAGCAGGAATTGCTGAGATTTATTTTAAACCCTCTTGCAACTGCTTCTCCTGAATCTAAACTCCAGATTTCTACCCAGGGATTCTGAGTTGCCAGACCGCTCCGTGAGAAACTGGGAAATTAGTTCAGAGCTCTCCAGGGTTTTCTTTTATTCATCAAGGAAGAAGCAGGGAAGCAATAAAATGAAAAGAAACAGCAAATAATTAAGACTGACACCATCCTCTCAGTGCCAGCCACCTCACTCACCCAAGTCTTCATTTGAATCAGGAAATAAGATTATAAATGAAGATTTTTTTTCCTCTGGCAACATGAATGCAAAGAAATATTTTAGGTAGGCAACTTCCATCAGCACAGAGAGATCAGCAGGACGCTTATAGAATAGAAGACTATTCGGTGGCAGCCAATTCACTTGCAAATTAAGACACATTCACTGAAGAAGCCCTATATGTTCTACTAAAATGTTTTGTTGGCTGTAGTGTTGGTGGCGGTGGTGGTGGTTTGTTGCAGGCTGCTGTGTACACAGAGCTTATTTGCCACTCGAGATGAAAGAGTTCCTGCAAACTAACCAGAGAATGTTCCCCAGTACCCTGTACATTATTGGAATTCATGGAGGGGAGAATTCAAAAGGAAGATGGGATGAAGACTGAATAACATGAAACTGTTCTCTTCTACTTTCAGGAAAACCCAAAAGTGACCCTGTGGATTTTCACTGTTCTAAGCTCCCCGTGACCTGTGGTGAGGCGAAAGGGATTTTATATAAGAAGAAAATGAAACACGGTGAGTTCCTTGGTCTTCTGCTCTTTGGAATCCCTAGATGAAGGACTCACTAGAAGGGAGGAAAATACCTGGGTGTATAATTGATCAGGAAATGGACCCTAGGCTGCAGAAGAAGAGACACTTCTTAGGAAGGAATTTCCAAACTCTTCCACATCATGGTATTTTTGGCAACCAGATCACTCCACTCCCACCTGGAAGTCACCCATGGGCCCTGCTGTACTGACAGCCACGTCCTTGGTGCATGTAGGCACCACATGAATGCAAAATCGGTCCCACCCCCTCACCACTCAGTCAGGCTTTAGGGCTGGCTTCAGTCCAAGAGGGGAGGCCTTCAGACTCCCCTGCTACTGCTTCCGCCTCACAGAGGAAGTCTCTTTTGACCCGGAAAGGTAGAAGGCCACAATTAGGATGAAGAGGTTTAGGGTGAATTCACAGAGAATGGTGGTAGATCCAAGAATGGGCTTTCTTTTTCTTACAGGATCCTCAGTGAAGTGCATTCAGAATGAGGATGGAACTTGGTTAACACTAAAAGAATTTGAAATGGAAGGAAAAGGAAGAAACACAAAGAACTGGAATCGGAGTATACGTTGCGGAGGAACGACCCTAGCAGAGCTGCTGAAAGTATTATAATGACAAGCGACAGATAGGTGACGGGTTTAAATCCTTGAAAGAGAAGTGGGGTTTTAACAGCAGAAATGTGAAGAGCTCCCGTTAGGATTCAAGAGCATGATTTAAAAGGAGTTAAATGTTCATAGAAACAAAATTGTGGGTGACAAAGTTAGGAGCACAGATTGTTCCTGATGGTGGAGAACTTTAAATGCAAGTAAAGGAGTGCAGGAACTTTAAATGCAGGCAGAGGGCTTTGGGGTCAAGAGAGATGTAAGACGCTCAAAAGAAACTAGCTGAACAGATGCCTGCAATCGCTCTTCTGCATCCTCTACCTGACACTTATTCAAGGCCAGCTCATCTGGCCCCCTGCAGCATTTCCAGACTGCCCAGTCCATGGTCCATCTCTCTGCTGCACGTCCACAGCAGGCTATTCCTGTCCTGAGAACTAGTCTCTGTGATCCCAGGACCCAACACAAGGCCCCTCTCAGTAACACTGAAGAAATTATCACTAGGATGAAATCATAAAGATTTTATCTAGAGAGGAAAAATGGAAGAAGAAAGGAATGGATGGGAAAGAGTAAGAAAGAAGAACTTGGGTCATGGGTTTGAGTGACAGGGGAAAAAGTGATTTTATCACTAAGTGAGGTCCAGAAGAAAAACTGACTGGGGGAGGGAGCTAATTTTTCTTTTTGACGCCTTGGGTTTGAGATCCAGTGTGATGTCTGGGTACAGATACTCATAGGAAGTGGGAAGGCCAGTATCTACAGAAGAAAAACCTCCAGAATAACCTCATTCATTGACTCCTTCTGTCTTTCAGAATGGACTTTTGCTCTGTCCTCCAAGAATAAATCTCAAGAGAGAGTTAAATAGCAAGTGAATTTCTACTACCCTCTCAGTCACCATGTTGCAGACTTTCCCTGTCTGGAGGCTCACCTTAGAGCTTCTGAGTTTCCCAGCTCTGAGTCACCTCCACATTTGGGCATGGCATCTTCAAAACAATTTTCGTAGTTAATTTGGGATGGGGAAGCAAATGACTCTAAAATAAAAATTAAATGAAAAAGCTCATCATGTCCATGTGTTTTAGAAAAAAGATCTGGATATTTGGATGGCTATAAACCAAAGGTGTCAGAAATAAAATACTCTAAGCCTAGATAAGATAGCAAGACCCCATCTCTAACACTTTTTTTTTAATCAGCCAGGAATGGTGGTGTGCACCTGTAGTCCCAGCTAAGGCTGAGGTAGGAGGATTGCTTGAGCCCAGGAGTTCAAGGCCAGCCTGAGTGATATAGTGAGACTCTGTATTGCTATACAGAGCGATGTAATGCCAGCACTTGGGGAGACCAAGGTGGGTGGATCCCTTGAGCCCAGGAGTTTGAGACCAGCCTGGGAAACAAGGCAAAACCCCTTCTTTACAAAACATACAAAAATTAGCCAGGCATGGTGGCATGCACCTGTAGTCCCAGCTACTCAGGAGGCTGAGGTGGGAGGATCACTTGAGCTCTGGAGGCAGAGGTTGCAGTGAGGCGAGGTCATGCCACTGCACTCCAGCTGGGGCAACAGAGCAAGACACTGTCTCAAAAAAAAAAAAATTGCTCCAGCATGAAAAGCAAAAAAAGGCCTTGAAATAGACAGGAACAGTATATGAAAGGACAAGAGGATCATCCATGATTGCACACCAAGTATTGCTGAGTGCTCCATGCTCCTTATTGGTAGCACCGGGATGGAGTGATGCGTTTGAACTGAGCTTTGTCTCTACAGGGCCTCCTTATAGCTGGAAATGGCAGTCATCTATTGGCTGCACTAACTTCCCTCCTCAACCTCTTCTGCTTGCTTAGACGTGTTCTCCAGACATCAGTTCCACTCACGAGCTTCCCATTAGTTGTGAACTTCCAGCAGAGACAATGGTGCCTCCCCCATGTTGCCCTGGAGGCTGACCTGACCAGGCTGGATTCATTCCAAGTTTAAGGCACTGGTCTCCCAATGCCATTTATTATATAAATCATCTTTCCCATGCTGATCTTAAATACCCTGAGAATCAGGGGTGCTCAGTGTAACATCATAGTAGCAAAAAATTAGGGCCAAACACAAGTTCTATCAGTATTGCAGAATAAAAAGTGATACAGTTACAGAATGGTTTTTTAAAAACTTTTCTTATAGAATATTAGACCTTTGATATAGATATGTGTTTAAATACATGGATTCATAAGTATGGAGTTATCATTCAATCAATGGAAAGCCACCAGAGGGTTCTGCAGTCAGGAGAGCTTCAGGACACTTAATGCTAGTTGTGACGTGTGGGGAAGGAGCCCCTTGTTGCTTATGTGACTGTGTAGGTAGGTCTACGAGTGAAAAAATAGCCGAAAGACTCAACTGCACTTATTTTGAGATGAGATCACAGGGGCATTTGCTTTCTGTATTACACATTTATGTACAGTTGGAATTACTATAATGACCAATTTGTTACTTTTGCAACCAGAAAAAAAAAGATCTTTAAAATCCAGACCATTAATTAATATCCCAACATGATAATACCCTCTAACTCTCCTAATGCCACATGTCAGCACATAATAGCCAGGGGCATGTTTGACCCAGCCTCTCAGTCCCACCTTCCAGGGCCAGGTCGGGAGAATAAGATGAACGTTTATCTGACTGAGAATGGGCCAGTGAGGGCCTTGCCCACAGCCCCATCATCCAGTGTCACTGCTGCACGTCCGTCCGTCTCCACTGCAGTCTCACTTATGTATGTGTACAACAAAGAGACCGATGCTGGTACTCCCAAAATGGGTTTTGTGGTTGCCCTGCAGGGTGCTGCCTCCATGACCCACACATGACGGGCAGCTGGTGTAAAGAGCCACAGGCTGGGCGTGTGACAGCCTCCATCTCCAGAAGGGCCTGGATGCCACTCTATCAGCATACAGTGTGGGGCTGAGGAAAACAGCTTTTGGGGTTTTATGTTTTTTTGTACCAAAAGTCCATGGCCATCATGGGTGGTCCAGAGATGCCAGGAGGCATGAGAGGAGGTTGCCAAAGCCTCCACAGTGAATGAGACTCAGGAGGGCACTAATTCCTGCTGTATTGCAATTTGACAGATTCTAGAATCTTTTGTTAGAAGGAACCCCATTGAAAGTGGGTCTGTTTGCAAGTAATAGCATAAATGGGCTTACCTAAAATCTATAAATGAGGGATGTGTTTCCTCTGGAACTCAAGAGGACTAAAGGATGCTGGGAGGCTTATTAGAACACTGTGGGTACTTAGAGGGTCAATAATTATTTTTTGACAGTGTCAGGGATGGAGCATCCCTCGACTGACCAGATAATGGCCAGAAATTGGTGGTGGATCCCTGTACTATGCCTGGGGCAGTGGCCCATACTTTTTTGTTTTAGTTGAATCCCACATCCATGCGGAAACACAAACCCCATCCTTTTCTGTGAGCTCCTTGTGAGTAATGTCCTGAGTGTGTCACGTGAATGTGCTGAGAGAAGGGTGTCTTCAGGGTGATGTTACACCTGTGCTCCTAGAGAAGGTCAGATGCAGTTCAAATCCTGCTTGCAGATTGTGTACGGTGACAGAACTGTCGAGGTACCCCGTGGTAGCCAGATAATGGTCTGTTGTGTCCCTTCGGGGCTGAAAGCAACCTGCAGCTGAGATGCTGTTGAAATACGCACTGAACCGAACACATTAGTCGAATCTATGCCTGCAGAGTATTTACCACTTGCTAAGTGGATGGAGTCAGTAATTTCAATAACATTGGGCCTTCACAGATGGGGTCACAGCATTCAGGTTGTAGTAATTCACCGTGAGGCATCATTCATTCTTTCCAAGCTTAAGAACAGACCAAATTGGGCTGTGAAATGGAGAAACCGTGGGGATAATCATCCCTTCTCTAAATAGATCTTCCATAATGAGTTTTCGTCCTTGAAAGCCGTGTTTTAATTCATATTGATCAGTATTAAATATTTTAACAGAGAAGGTCCATGGAGTTCCATGTTGTAAAGCCCATTGTAAGTGCCAAAGATAACTTAATTTTGATTATTTTAATTTGTTATTTACTGGGTCACAGCATCCGTGCCCACTATGGAACATTTTAGGGCCATGTTATGTTACGACCCTAGGCAGTTAGGCAAGGCACCAGGAAAAACAGTTCCCATACTCCTGCACCTAAATGCCAGTTATCATCATTTCTTACTTTGGTCAGTTAGATCTATTAACAGAGGCTTGGTGGGGCTCAGCAAATGCGGCCCAGAGTGGCCCAGCTCAAAGCACAAGCTTGCCAGCAGGCGGCAGCATAGCTCAAAACACGGCAGAACCCGTTAGCAAGCCACAGCCAGAGAAGAAAAGCCCTAGTGGTGGTGGTCACCACCCAGACTCCCTGCGTGTTGTGCCATTTGTCTTGCAGTTTCCCCCAGGGAGGTGGCATCAGCTCCCCCCACCATAAATTGGGTTTGGATATCCACTGTGGCACACACAAAATGATGTGTTCTAGAACCCCACAGGGTCAGCATTCCTGGGTCATCAGTGGTAGTGGCAGCTGGTCCTAGCGCTGTCCACATGATCTGCCCTTGCAGTGGAAAAACTTGGATGAATGCGAGGTGTGCCGTAAAGGGGGATAACTTCTCTGCTGCGGTACTTGTCCATGAGTCTTCCGTGAAGACTGTCACATCCCCCCTGTGGAAGCCAAGAGGTGAGTGGGATGCAGCCCCGCCTCGGGCACACAGCACTCACCTCCGGATGGAAAGGGCAGGACCTGTGAACATTGCGGACAAGGGTGTGATGCACAGCAGTCTGGTGCCAGAGACTCTGGGCCTCTCTGGGTCTCTGAGGCTGCCAGCGAGCCTCTTGGCCCCACACTGCTTCTGCCCCTGGAGGTGCCCTTTCCTAGGATGTTATTCCTTGGACAGCAGGGACTCCTGTCCAAGGGGAGTTGGGGACAGGAAAAGCCAGCTTATGTTCTGTGCCTGCTCAGGAAAGACAGGAAGCACGGCTTGTCACACATTTCACCATGGTCTCATCAGGCTGATGGAGGCCTGAGGTCCCTGCAGGTGAAAGCCCGGATTCTGACACTCAAGCCTGGCAGCCTGGGTTCCTTTGTGCTCCCAGCAGCTCAGACAGGGAAAAGAGCCCACGCTTACAGTGACACCACCTTCCTCAGGCTGCCCACCTGCCGCCACCACTGATGCGAGGGAAGGGTCAATGCTGGAGGCCCCACGTGGGGATCTTGGACACTCTGGGAGGTATCCCACCCTCATGGCTGAGCTCATCCTTCCTGAGGGAAGACAGTGGCAGCCACAGGAACGGTGGCCATTTCCAGGGACCTTGCCCTCTGTTCACCTTTTGTCCAACCTCTCAGGACGCTGTGGAGTTGCACCTTCTGCAGGATAAGAGGCCTTCAGGAAGCCAACAGTGTCATCATGTATCTAAGATCCTGGAGAGGCAGATGCAGCCTCAGGACCAGCTGGTAAGTTGGATGCCAACCCCAAGCCTACGCTTTTCCCTTCTCACATGAGAAGCACAAACAGGCACAGGGTCAGGGCATTGCACCAAAGGGAGGCTTCAATGTCTCCTTTTAGAGGATGACGATTTAATGCCCAAACACAGAGTCTAAACAAAATCCCACACACCCCGTGAGCCTTGGTAAGCACGGTTGTAATGCTGACTGGGCGTGGCTGCCCCGTCCGTGTGCATGTCTAGACATTCACCTGGCTTCACTTTCCAAGCTGCATTTCACTTTCAAGCCCTCTTCACATTTTACAGAAATAGGAGTTCCTCCTCTTGAAGGCCTACTGTCATCCACAAAGCTCCTTTTTTACAGGCATTCCATTTAATGTAAGTCACATTTTACAGTTCCCTTGAATAAAATGCACTTTGAGAAATGTGGGGGCTGAGTCCGGCAGGTGTTGCAGTTTGCTCAGGAAGCTGGAGAACGGGAGAGAAGGACAGCACGGCAGCAGTGGAGCAGTGTAGCGGGGATTTCGCTGCACACTCTGGAGAGGGACTACCTGGCTCAAACTCCACCCTACCACTCACGGGCTATGGGATACCGGGCAAGTTGCTGCCCCTCCTGTGTATCTCAGTTTCATCTTCTCTTTAGGAGGAATGTCTTTCCTACTAGAGATTAAGAGTCACAGAGGCCAGCTGGGGGCAGCCGCTCATGCCTGTAATCCCAGCACTTTGGGAGGCTGAGGCCAGCAGATCACTTGAGGTCAGGAGTTCAAGACCAGCCTGGCCAACATGGCAAAACCCCATCTCTACTAAAAATACAAAAATTAGCCAGGCGTGGTGGCGGGCACCTGTAATCCCAGCTACTTGGGAGGCTGAGGAAGGAGAATCACTTGAACCTGGGAGGCAGAGGTTGCGTGAGCCAAGATGGTACCACTGCACTCCAGCCTGGGTGACAAAGCAAGACTCCATCTCAAAAAAAAAACAAGAGCCACAGATGCCAAACTGTGTGGGTTCCCATCCCAGCTCTGCCACTTTCTAGCTGGGACATCTTGGGTAGGCTCCTTGACCTCTCCATCCCTCGGTTTCCTCATCTGTGAAATGGGCATCATTATTTATGGTACCCATAAATGTGGAGATTACATATTCATATGCTTGGCTTACAATTTAGTTTATCTAGTGCCTAGAACAATAGCTGGCCTACAGAAGTCAGATGGTGTTATCATTATCACCCTGGAAATGAAGACTTGGATTGTATTTAAACTGGATCCTTTCCAGTGATGACAGCTGTGCTGACGTCTCCTCTCTGGTGGCTTTGTCCTGATTCGCGGTTACGGTGAGCCCTTTCAGGAAGCAATGCGGTTGGACCTGGTTAAGGAGAGGCTGAATACGGAAGTGTACACGGTGGCATAGTTTGTGCGGGACATGCGCCTGATCTTCCGCAACCATAAAACATTTCACAAGGTAAAGGGCATGTCCTGCTTCCTTTTTGCATCTTTTCTACTTTCCCCTAATTTCTGGGACAGCAGAATTTTGCAAGGATAACCCTCAGTTTCATCCTGGGGAGAGCTCAAACGAGACAAGGATTACAGAAAAAAAACCACCTCAGCATTCTTGGAGGCAAGGAGTGAGTGGCAAAAAGAACAAACAGCAAGCAGGACAGGGGAGGGATCTCCGGAACAGGAGCTGAAAAAACAAAGGCTCTGTTCCCAGATCGGGAGCTCGCTCCCAACGCGAGCAGTAAATGGCATCCAGCTTCTTTGTTCAAACTGGAAGGAAAGGCAGTTTATGCCTACATTGTTCTTCCTGCCTCAGAAATATGAAAACAAATAAGTAAACAAAATAAAATCAGTTAAACTTCCTGGATACTTATGCTTGCATTTTTTTACACATACATTTCTCACTGGACTCAAACATCTGGAATTGCCTTCAGATACAGTGTTGGTTTCATCCTCCTTTACTAGGGAGGGACCAGCTAGTTGAGCTATCCTGCAATCCCAACATTTGTAACTTTGGTTTGTCCTGATTTTTTGTTTGTTTGTTTGTTTGTTTTTGTTTTTGAGACGGAGTCTCGCTCTGTCGCCCAGGCTGGAGCGCAGTGGCGGGATCTCTGCTCACTGCAAACTCCGCCTCCCACGTTCAGGCCATTCTCCTGCTTCAGCCTCCCGAGTAGCTGGGACTACAGGCGCCCGCCACCTCGCCCGGCTAGTTTTTTGTATTTTTTTTTTAGTAGAGACGGGGTTTCACCGTGTTAGCCAGGATGGTGTCGATCTCCTGACCTCGTGATCCGCCCGTCTCGGCCTCCCAAAGTGCTGGGATTACAGGCGTGAGCCACCGCGCCCGGCCAGTTTGTCCTGATTTTTATCCTCACTTGTGCAGATATTTCTTGGGAGGTACCTAAGGAAGATTTTCATCTCCACCCAGCTTCCTTCCCTTCTTCCATGCCAGGAGTTGGCATGTTCACAAACCACAAACTGTAAACGGGTACCCACTCATGGAGCTGCAGGCAGAAAGGGCTGACCAGAGAGCCACTCAGTGCCTGGCGTATCCTTAGCCCTGGAGAACAGAGGGTCATCCTTCATCAGTGAGTAGGCTTTCAAGAAATGCATTTAAAAACATTTTTTAAGCTATTTTGCACCATGCTCAGATTTGCCATGATCAAAACTAAACCTTCAGTCCAAATCACCTGTCAGGTGGAAGTTAACAACCAGGTGGAGTCTCATGCTTTTCAACATTTTAGTAGCAGCGTCTCCCCATCCATTCTGCCTCACTGCTGGGCCTCCTAAAAAAATATGAGTGAAACTGGGAGCAGTGACTCACATCTGCAATCCCAGCTTTTGGGGAGTCCGAGGTGAGGGAATCACCTGAAGCCAGGAGTTTGAGACCAGCCTGAGCAACATAGCAAGACCTCCTCACCCCGATCTCTGAGAAAAAAAAAAAAAAAAGTTTTAAAAATCTGGGCATACAGCTACTCGGGAGGCTGAGGCAGGAGAATGGCGTGAAGCCGGGAGGCGGAGCTTGCAGTGAGCTGAGATCCGGCCACTGCACTCCAGCCTGGGCGACAGAGCGAGACTCCGTCTCAAAAAAAAAAAAAAAAATCTGGGCATAGCGGCATGTGCCTGTAGTTTCAGCTACTCAGGAGGCTGAGGTGGGAGGATTGCTTGTGCCCAGGAATTGAAGGCTGCAGTGAGTTATGATGGTGCCACCGCACCACAGCCTGGGTGACAGGGAAAGACCTGACTCAAAAACAAAAAACAAAAAAATCTATGAGTGATCTGATGGCTGTAATCTTTCGTCCTTCAACGTGTGTGTTTGCTTTTTTCTCTTTCAGGCTTCCGACTTTGGCAAGGCAGAACTTAACTTAGAGGCAGATTTTGAAAAAGATCTCAAAGACGTGCTTGGTTTTCACGAAGCCAGTGAACGTGGTTTCTGGACTCTTCCTTTACCCTGTTCTGAAAAGACTGAAGCATCGCAACCTCAGGATTCAGCTGATGGGACCCTGGCTTGGACTGTTAATTGCCCGTGAGTCTGGGATGTAATTCGCTGCCCTCAGGACCCAAACCCAGACCCTTCATAGGATTATCACACCCTTCACCACCTTTATTCTTTCTTTTTACCTTTAAAAAGCTATATCCACACTAAAAAAACAAAATTAGTACTTCCTTAATACCATCAGATACCCCATCATAGTTCACAGTCTCCCCACTGTCTCAGAAGTCTTTTTAGAGTTGATTTGTTCAAATCAGGATCTAAACAAGTTGCACACATTGCATTTGGCTCGCCTGTCCCTATGTCTCTTTTAAGCTATAAATTGTCATGTATTTATTGAAGAACTCAGGGTTTTGGTCCTATTACATTTTTTGCAATCTGGAATTTTCTGGTTGCATTTTCTTAGTGGTATAGTCCTCTCTTCCTCTCATTTTTTGTAAGCTAGAAGTTAGATCTAGAAGCTTGCTTTAACTCAGGTTTTGAGGGGTTTGCTTTAATTTGGGGTTTTTTGGGCATACGCAGGCTTCGCAGGGGGAATTTAGTATTATTTTTTATGTTAAGCTTGGCAGCAGGTGCAGGTGTTGTCAGCCTGATCATCTGTCACCTGACAGTTTTAGCAATACCTAAATCCGTGATATCATCAGGGGTCGCAAAATGATGAGATTCAGATTTTATTTTTTTACATCATTATTGGTCAGATTTCTTCTGCAAATAGCTTCTCTTTAACAATATTCAGTTATCTTGAAATATAGTTTGTACAAAAAATAGGATAAATGCTTGTTTTTTTTATTTAGCAATGTTCAAAATAACAAATTGATTTCCTAATATCCTCTAAAGGTAACCAGGGATTTTTTTATTGATTTATCTTGAACCCACATATTTAAATATACGTAGTATGCTACAAACCATTGCAGTTAATACCTTTATTGATGCTTGAGTTGCCCACTTTTTTTTTTTTTTGAGACAGGGTCTCACTCTGTCACCCAGGCTGGAGTGCAAAGGCGCCATCTTGGCTCACTGCAACCTCCTCCTCCTGGGTGCAAGTGATTCTCCTGCCTCAGCCTCCGAGTAGCTGGGATTACAGGCCTGTGCAAGTTCCTCACTTTTAGTGAGAATCTCCTCAGTTTGCCTCCTGAATTGTTTTGAAATGACCCCAGCACTCTTCAATGGTGTATTAGCTATCATTGCTGTGTAACAAATGACCTCAAAGCTTAGCTGCTTGAAAAGAAAAAAACCATTTTATTGCTCACCATTCTGTGGGTCAGGAATTCAGGCATCATCCATGAGGATGCTTACCGTTGTTCCACATGGTCCTGGCAGACCCCATTCATACTTGCACACTGTCACTTCTGCCACAATCTATTGGTGAAACCAAGTCACAGGGCCAGATTCAGAAGGAGGGAGAATAGACCCTACCTCTTGATGCAGTGAGTGACAAAGGCACATTTCAAAGGAGAATGTTGCTTGGGAAGAAACATTGCTGCTCCCATCTTTAGAAGCAATCTACTGTAGTTCACCCTCTAGCCAAGTAGTTCCCATCTTTCCCATATGCAAAGGACACTCCTCTCCCCTCAGAAGTCTCACTCTCTGCAGCACTGGAACAAAGTCCAGGACCTCCTTATCTAAATCAGGTTCAGATCAGATAAGCCTTCTTGGGACTGGGCACAGTGGCTCACACCTGAAATCCCAGCACTTTAGGAGGCCGAGGCAGGTGGATCGCTTGAGTCCAAGAGTTCAAGACCAGCCTGGGCAACATGGCAAAACCTCATCTCTACAAAAAACATTTTTTTTTAATTAGCTGGGCATGGTGGCACACACCTCTAGTCCCAGCTACTCATGAGGCTGAGGCGGAAGGATGAGCCTGGTAGGCAGCGGTCGCAGTGAGCCAAGAATGCACCACTGCACTCTAGCCTGGGCAACAGAGACCCTGCCAAAAAAAAGAAAAGAAAAGAAAAAGAGGACGGGAGAGGAGAAGTAAAAAGGAAGCAGAGTGGAGGGGAGGGGAGGGGAGGGGAGGGGAGGAGAGAGGAGGGAAGGGAAGGGAAGGGAAGGGAAGGGAAGGGGAAAATGAAAGAAAAAGGCTCCTCAAGTATGGTTCATTGGGTGCAGCTCCTTGGGTGCACCTCCTCTTAAACTAGAATCCAGTGAGCTGAAAAATTGTTTCTCCCCTGCTGCCAACATTCAGTGATGAAACAGGGACAGAATAACCACTAAAGATACTTCCATTCAAACAGGGAAGAAGGAAGCAGCAGTCACTCATTTATAGCAATTCTGAAATCCAGTCAAGCACATGGTGCTAGTTCTCCCTAATCCCAGGGCAGGAAATTTTCCCAGACACATGATTTATATGTATTATACATCTCTAATTCCCATCCAATCCCACAGGCTTCTTCCTTGTCTTCCTAGGTTCTACATTGGTGTCTCTCTTCTCCAACAGTATTACTCATTTGCTCAATCCCCAGGTACAACAATATAATTTAACAGAATTTCAATACTCAGACCACTATGAAAAACAAACTAAACTGATTTCAAAATTTCTGCAGGGTTTATTTTTGTTTGTTATAGATTTCATATGCCATTGCAGAGGGTATTTAAGATACCATTGCAGAGGATTTGGCACTTGTATTTATACAAGAGATTGGTCTATAGTTTTTACAGACTGTCAAAGTCAGATTTATGGTTATCCTACTTCGGTAAAATAACTTGTAAAATTTTCTACCTTTTAAGATGTTCTGGAATAATTTATAGTGTTTTAAATTAACCAAAAGGAAGTGACCCAGAGTTCACTAGGGAGATAGTGTTGGCCACATTATATGCTTTTTTTATGCATATACTCTGTTGGTTTTTGAGACAGTTCTGCTTTTATGTTTTTCTAAGAAGTCATCTATTTCATTTGTGGTTAAAAGTTAATACAGGTGGTCAGCCAGCCGCAGTGGCTCAGGCCTGTAATCCCAGCACTTTGGGAGGCCGAGGTGAGTAGATCATGAGTCAAGAGATCGAGACCAGCCTGACCAACATGGTGAAACCCCATCTCAAATAAACACAAAAACTAGCCAGACGTGGTGGTGTGCGCCTGTAATCCCAGCTACTCAGGAGACTGAGGCAGGAGAATCGCTTGAACCTGGGAGGCGGAGGTTGCAGTGAGCTGAGATCGCACAACTGTACTCCAACCTGGGCGACAGAGTAAGACTCTGTTTCAAAAAAAAAAGAAAAAAGTAATATAGGTGGTCTCATTTCTATCATATTTTGATATTTCTCTTTTTAATGTTTTAATGTTATTTTTGTCTTTTTTTTTTTTTTTGCTTCCGCCTTCTATTTTGGAAGGCATCATAACGGTTTTTAGTTCCCATATTTACCCATAAGTTTTCCCAATGCATTTCTACTTACTTTTTTAATGTCAAAGTCAAAATATCTGTAATGTGCTGGGAAAACTGGCTAGCCATATGTAGAAAGCTGAAACTGGATCTCTTTCTTACACCTTATACAAAAATTAATTCAAGATGGATTAGAGACTTAAATGTTAGACCTAAAACCATAAAAATCCTAGAAGAAAACCTAGGCAATACCATTCAGGACATAGGCATGGGCAAGGACTTCATGACTAAAACAACAAAAGCAATGGCAACAAAAGCCAAAATTGACAAATGGGATCTAATTAAACTAAAGAGCTTCTGCACAGCAAAAGAAACTACCATCAGAGTGAACAGGCAACCTACAGAATGCGAGAAAATTTTTGCAATCTACTCATCTGACAAAGGGCTAATATCCAGAACCTACAAAGAACTCAATCAAATTTACAAGAAAAAAACAACCCCATCAAAAAGTAGGCGAAGGATATGAACAGACACTTCTCAAAAGAAGACATTTATATAGCCAACAGACACAGGAAAAAATGCTCATCATCACTGGCCATCAGAGAAATACAAATCAAAACCACAATGAGATACCATCTCACACTAGTTAGAATGGCAATCATTAAAAAGTCAGGAAACAACAGATGCTGGAGAGGATGTGGAGAAACAGGAACACTTTTACACTGTTGGTGGGACTGTAAACTAGTTCAACCATTGTGGAAGACAGTGTGGCAATTTCTCAAGGGTCTAGAACTAGAAATACCATTTGACCCAGCCATCCCACTACTGGGGATATACCCAAAGGATTATAAATCATACTGCTATAAAGACACATGCAAATGTATGTTTATTGTGGCACTATTCACAATAGCAAAGACTTGGAACCAACGCAGATATCCATCAATGATAGACTGGATTAAGAAAATGTGGCACGTATACACCATGGAATACTATGCAGCCATAAAAAATGATGAGTCCACGTCCTTTGTAGGGACATGGATGCAGCTGGAAACCATCATTCTCAGCAAACTATCGCAAGAAAAGAAAACCAAACACCGCATGTTCTCACTCATAGGTGGGAATTGAACAATGAGAACACTTGGACACAGGAAGGGGAACATCACACACTGGGGCCTGTTGTGGGGTGGGGGGAGCGGGGAGGGATAGCATTAGGAGATACACCTAATGTAAATGACGAGTTAATGGGTGCAGCACACCAACATGGCACATGTATACATATGTAACAAACCTGCACGTTGTGCACATGTACCCTAGAACTTGAAGTATAATAATAAAAAAAGGAATATAGGTGGTCTTATTTCTATCATAATTTGATATTTCTCTTTTTAATGTTTTAATTTTTTTTTTTTTTTTTTTTTTTTTGAAACGGAGTCTCGCTCTGCCGCCCAGGCTGAAGTGCAGTGGCCGGATCTCAGCTCACTGCAAGCTCCGCCTCCCGGGTTCACGCCATTCTCCTGCCTCAGCCTCCCGAGTAGTTGGGACTACAGGCGCCTGCCACCGCGCCTGGCTAGTTTTTTGTATTTTTTAGTAGAGACGGGGTTTCACCGTGTTAGCCAGGATGGTGTCGATCTCCTGACCTCGTGATCCGCCCGTCTCGGCCTCCCAAAGTGCTGGGATTACAGGCTTGAGCCACCGCGCCCGGCCTGTTTTAATATTATTTTTGTCTTTTTTTTTTTTTTTTTGCTTCTGCCTTCTATTTTGGAAGGCATCATAACGGTTTTTAGTTCCAATATTTACCCACAAGTTTTCCCAATGTATTTTGACTTGTTTTTTTAATGTCAAAGTCAAAATATCTGTAATGTGCCACATTCTTAAGGCAATGCGTTTATCACTTTGATACCTCTCAGCTCCCTTATTCCTGTCTTTTCACTTTCTTGAAACATAGACATGCATTAGTATTAATTTTTTTGCTTTTACTCTATAAATTATGTTTATTCTATTCAATGATATTATGTCATTATTAGTTTCACATTATGTAAATTATTTGTCCTGTCATATGTCATATAAAGTAATTCAAAAGCAAAAAGTAAGTGTGTATTACATGATAACCTGTATTTATGAGAACAATATTAACGGGTTTCTGTTTTCGCTATTTTAAGATTCCCTGCTGATCTTTTCTTGTCACGACTTCTCCATACTTCCTTTTTGCTCCACCTTTCAGTCAACTGAAGTATATCTTTAAGTAATTTGAAAAGAATTACATGGATGGTATGTTTTCTGACTCACCATATCTTAGAATGTGTTCTATTGTTTTCATAAATTAATAACATAATATATATATCATCACAACTTCTCACCTTCAAAATTGATTTAAACTTTGTTCCACTGTCTTTGGGGATTTTATTCTACAACTCTGAAATCTAAGTCCAGCCAGAATTCTGCCTCTTCATCAGTGTGTGGAAGCCAGTGATATTTCCCCTGTTATCCCAATAGTTCTATATTTAGTTATTTTTGCCAGGATAGGTTTCAAATATAGTATTCTTTTCATTCATCATGCCTGGCACACTGAGCCTTTTCAATATACACGCCTGGTTCTTTTCCAGCCCCATTAAATCTTACTGATCCATTTGTCCTGGGCTCACTTTCAAGAACATCTATTATCTACAGGCTATCTGCTCTCTGTTCTCCCTCTTTATAATTTTTTTTTAAATGTTTCAGGAAGAACTCCTGCTCTTAGGCCATTAGTATGAGACTGATATTAATACAACTGCAATTTGATAGTATTTTAAACCTGATTTTTTAGCATGTTAATAATGCTAATTGCTATTTTTTAACAAAACTTCAAAGGATACAAACTTTCCTTAACAATATTTTTATTTTCTCAAGACAAAAATAGAAAATCATTACAACTTACTAAGTTGTCCTGATCTGTGTTTCTGACTTTTCATTCTTAGTCTCCATGGAGGAGTAAGACCATCAAAGACGCAGGCCCTGCCCCACAAAGAGGCAGAACCTGTTCAGTGGGGCCCCTTCAGCCTCCCAGTGAGGAACTGGGAGAAGAGTGTGTTGGAATTTCCATTTAGGTACCCAGTGTCACAGACTAACGAATGAAAAATGTATCTATGATTTCTTTTGTTCCTGTTTCCCAGTGTTTTCACAATAATGTGAGCTGTGAAATTGACCTCACCTGTGATCCAGGAAAGGGTGGAGGCAGTTTGAGCACTGGCTCAAGAAAAGCACATAATAAAGTAGAATTCCCTTCATTGTATGGAAAGACAACAAATATGGCCATAAAGATGACCGCTCCTGGTGCCACTTTGGAGCGAATGCTGAGTCCTAGAGACGATTTTATCAGCATAGGCTTTAGACTTCCAAATCCTTCTGAGAAGTGCACTAAAGGTTCCCCTTCCCAGCATAAGCTCAATGCATTATGATAAAAGATTCCCCTCCCTACCAGTTTACCAGCAGGCAGGATTGCTGGGTAAAAAAAAAAACTGATATCCATTTATGACTTAACCCTGTCTTCCATTCTGACATTGGTAAGCTGATCCAGGTCTGTCTGTCTATCATCTAATCATGGCTCTGGGTCCCTCTGTAACTTGGGCAGGGGGTCGGGGGTAGCCTAAAGAGTCACTTATTTCTTTCAAGTTGAGATTTTCAAACACCAGCAGTTTGGTTGCCATGATAGCCAAGACCCCTATCCCCGGAACACTCTCTTCCTTTGCTACCGCTTGTTGCCGTACGGCTCCCCTAGTTTTCAAGTGATTTCTGCCTGCGAGAACAGGGTTTGGGTTATTCTGCTGAGCCCAGCTGGTCCTCACCTTTCCCCAGACTCTCTGAGCTGTACGTGCAGGCTCTCCCTCCTGGTCATTTCCCACTGCTCAGGCCTCATCCACTTTCAGCACCTCCTTAGATGTTAAGAACTCTTAAGGAACCCATCAGTGATGCCCCTACAGACAATGCCAATTGCCTCTCTCCAGGGACCCATTCCAGTCCTGCACCCAGGCCATAATAACATAGGAGTTAAAAAGAAATTATTTAGGCACATAGTGAGGGTAAGGAAGTCCTCACTAAGGTTTTCCTTTTAATGAAAAGCAGCTCCCAAGTCATTTCTTTTCTAACGAAAAGCAGCCTGTAAAATTGAGCTGCAGACATAGATAAGCAAGCTGGAAGCTTGCACAGGTGAATGCCGGCAGCTGTGCCAATGGGAAAGGGCTATCTGGGGGCTAGATGAGTCCAATATCGTGGCTCCATCTTCCCTTTTCCTTGCCAACCACGTGTATAGCAAGGAACAGACAACATGGTGCTGACCAAGTAGAAAACCCATTTGCATAAGAAGAAGATTAGGGTGGGGTGGCCAACTTCCTCCCTTGTGTGCTATGTAAATGTCACACCTGGTCCAACCAATCTGTGGGCCCTATGTAAATCAGATACTGCCTCCTCAAGCCAGTCTATAAAATCTGGTGCATTTTGCCATGGGCTGGAAGACCCACTTGGGCACTCCTCTTTCTCTGCAAGAGAAAGAGCTATTCTTTTTTCTCTTTCCTTTGCCTATTAAACCTCCACTCTTAATCTCACTCCACCATGTGTCCATGGCCTTGATTTCCTTGGCATGAGGTCACAAACCTCAGGTATTACCCCAGATGAACAACACTGCTTCGATTTCTCCCATCTGATCCAGCTGGGTTCCACTCTTTCCTGAACCCTTTCCTCCCGCACTGGCCAGGGAGCCCGCATCAGCTCAGGACTACCTTCAAGTTATGATGTGGGAGGTTCTACGTGACTCCAAAAGGCTGCAAAAATGGAACAACAAAAAAGTTTTATCAGGAATGACTGGAAGAATTACATGTAAAAATACATTGCCCCCCTCCAGCTGGTAGCAGAAATTCCACCTTGGAAGATTCATTCTTAGAAACTGGGGAGACCTTGTCTCCTGGTGAAGTGCAGCCTCCCTCAGGAGAGGTAGACTTCATTGGCATCAGCATCTGGAGTGGGTACATTTCTCAGATGCTTTCCAAGCTCTGGTACAGCCAGGCCTTCAGAGCAAGCTCGTATCCTACAAGTCGTTATGGAAGTCGGTGGGCGGGGTCAGTCCTGGCAGGTGCCTTGGACTCTTTGCTTTCCTGCCCTGAGCCCTGAGGACACTGACTGCTTCTCTTTCCTCCCAAAGCTGCTCCAGTGGAACTCCTCCCCTCTTGAAATTAGGAGTGGGGGCTACGGGATTCCCAACTCTCTTGTCATTCCATCTCTTCTGTCATTGTGACTTAGAAAAAAATGCACAGACTGTATTCATTTTAACCGTCGTTCCCCTCTGAAGTGTCATGTGAGATAATGAAGACAGTGCCAAGAAGACACTGTCCTTCTCACTTCACCTCTGGTCTCAGCTGGGCCATGTGAATCTCCAGAACCATCTAGAAAAAGGAAGATCACCTGGCGAAGTCCCTCCCAGCACAAGACTCCAGGCAACCTGGCACCAGGCACCCCATTGGACAAGACCAGAGCTCAGGTGCACTGGCAGAGGGGACACTCTTCCCCTTTAGCAGCTACTGGCATCTGATCACTTACAGAGAGGTTGGGTAGAACCCTGAGGAACCCAGGAGAGCCACTTTCCAGAAGACAGCCCGGGGCCTCGAGCAAGAATTCGACGGTGAGGACAGTCATCCAGACCTGGACACAAGGCCCAAGTATCAGCAGAAAGGGGTGGTTACACATCCAGGATGTCAGCTGATACTGAAGCATCTAACGCACTGTTCTGAAACAGAGTCTGTTGGATGTGGAGTTAAGGTTTTGACTCACTAAATGCTCTGCCCTAGGGGCTAAAGCGGAAATGTCCTTACAAGGGCAACAGCGAGGTTTCCAGCCTTCGGGCCCAGCAGTGGCTCTCCAGCTTCCACAACCCAGACCTTAGGCACTGTGGTTGCAGCATTCAGACCCAGGGCCACAACTGCACCCAGCTATCAAGGACTGGACTGAGGGGAGCTGGCTCAGCTGCCCCCATGACTTGGTTCAGAATTGACTCATGGGCCTATGAAAGTGCTCTGGGGGTACCTGTCAAAGTTTGGTCTTGGCCAGTGAAAGATGAGCATTCAAGTTAATGGGCGTATGTTAGTGCTCACTAGCATTCAAGTTAATGGGCGTATGTTAGTGCTCACTAGCATTCAAGTTAATGGGCGTATGTTAGTGCTCACTAGCATTCAAGTTAATGGGTATATGTTAGTACTCACCAGCAGGAAAAAAAGAGAGGCTTCAGTGCATCCTGGGATCCTGGGGGAAGAAGTGTCATGTCCTCCTAAGAAGGCAGAATTGGTCCAAATAATGGACAGTGAGGAGGGCAGGGTAAACCAGCCACTCCTTGGCATCCTTGGCACCTACAAGTGCCAATTTGCCCTAAATTTTCCCAGACAGAGCCCACAGGTCAGATTTTGATGTTTCTACATCTGGACAGTGACCAGTTTGTATTCACAGCCAATCCCTAACCTCAACATCATCTCAGTTTCCAGTTCCTCAAAGAAGTTTACCCTTGACCCCCTAGGCCTGGTTCTGGCCCTTTGGAGGGTCAGGCAGAGCAGAATGCATGCAAAGGCTTTCCAATTCTCCCAGGATGGGCACAGGACCTAGCCCTGAGAGCAGCAGGCACCCTGGACTTCTACAAAAGTGTACCATAGGCCAGGTACGGTGGCTCACGCCTACAATCTCAGCACTTTGGGAGGCCGAGACGGGTGGATCACTTGAGGCTAGGAGTTCAAGACCAGCCTGGCCAAGATGGTGAAACGCCACTAAAAATACAGAAATTAGCCTGGTGTGGTGGCGTACGCCTGTAATCCCAGCTACTTGGGAGGCTGAGGCAAGAGAATCGCTTGAGCCTTGGGGGCAGAGGTTGCAGTGAGCCGAGATTACACCACTGCACTCCTGCCTGGGCGACAGGGAACTCTGTCCTCCCCCACCAAAAAAAAAAAAAAAAAAAGTGAGGCATGCTGTTTAACCACCAGAGGGCACTGTGGGCCCCTTCAGAGACGGAAAGGAACTGAGGTATTAAAGCTCCTGCAAGGACAAGGAACTAGGAGAAGCAAGTAGTGGAGGCTTTGAAGGGGAGGAAGATGCTTTCAGTGGCTCCTGTTTCATGCAGATGGAGGAAAACCAACCAAGAGATGCGCGAGGTTCTCTCCAGATGAGACTGGCAAAGATGAAGCAGCAGAAAGTCACGTTTAGGCACATGCTTGCGAGGATTTCCTTACTGTGACAAAAGGTCCCTTCTGTCGTTTGTCACAAGTGCAAAACCTCACAGCTAACATAATGAAACAACTGAGATGCACTCAGTAATGTGGGCTGGAAAAGGCTTCCCAGTTGTTCATTTCATAGATTGGAGTCTGGCAGGAGGCCCGCCTGGGGATGGCCGGCAGCTGGCAGAGACCTGGATTCTAGATCCTCCCATTTGCAAGAATGTCCCAGGTGACCTCCTCTCACGGATGCTAGAGGATGAGGACAGGGTGAGGAAGCCAGCCTACTGGGGCGGGGGGGAGTGGTCTGTGGGACCAATGAAGAATGCTTAGAGAGGGGTCCTCTGTGATATCTGGACATTGACCACTTCCCAATAAGTTGCCTACTTCCCGCTGCTTCAGAATCACAGGGAGCTTGCTAAAATGCAGATTCTGGTATGTTCACCCTGGATGAGAATCTCTAGGATTCAGGCCTAGGAATTTGTGTTTTTAACCAGGTGAACAACTTTTCTAGGTGATTTTTTTTTTTTTTTTTTTTTTTTTTTTTTTTGCCACAATTAGGTTTGAGATCCACTGCCCTATGACTGGTCCTTTATCTGACTTAAACGTTTGACAAAGGAGCAAATCTAACTAAGGTATCTGTGGTGTGGGCAGCAGTAGAGCCTGCAACTTAATCACAAGAGCTGCCCTTGTCCTGTAAGATGACAGCCGGGGGTTTATTATTTGGTTGATTGCTTGGTTTAATTGTAATGTTTTGTAGCTTAAATGTTTATTTATTAACAGCTTTCAGAAACAGTAATAAGAATAAAATGTGAAGCCACCTGCAGAAGAAAAAACTAAATTGAGAAGGGAACTAAATGAAAAAGCAGCTAGGCAGATGAGATTTGGGGATGCAGGGAGCAAGTGTGTGGATGGAGAGAGATTATTATTGAACCCTGGTCATGAGAACTTCAGAGGTCATGAGTGGAGGTGTCCCACACGGTGCTGTTTTAGCGTTACAGTCTCACTAATGCACCACAATGAGCACTCTCGTAATACCTGGAGTTCTTTTGTCTCATGACCAACAGAATTAAGGATCATGGACACAAACGGTGAGATTGGAGCAAAAGTTTACTAAGCAAAAGAGGAATGCCCTCTGCCATGGAGAGGGGGCCCAGAAGCGGGTTGCCATTTTTACAGTTGAATGCAAAGGCTTTTATAAGAAACTGATGAGGGCTGGGCATCTCATTTGCATAAGATACAAATCTCTGTTAGCTCCACCCCATCCTCCAAGTGTGCATGTGGGCCCTTAGCTTAGTGACTCCGTATTGCTTTGTTCACCTTACTGTGCATGTGTTAGGGGACGGGCTGTCCAGAATTGGTGGGTTCTTGGTCTCACTGACTTCAAGAACGAAGCTGCGGACCCTCGCAGTGAGTGTTACAGTTCTGAAAGATGGTGTGTCCAGAGTTTGTTCCTTCAGACGTTCAGATGTGTCTGGAGTTTCTTCTTTCTCGCAGGTTCGTGGTTTCACTGTCAGGAGTGAAGCTGCAGACCTTCGTGGTGAATATTACAGCTCTTAAAGGCAGCGGATCTGGAGTTGTTCATTATTCCCAGTGGATTTGTGGTCTCGTTGGCTTCAGGACTGAAGCTGCAGCCCTTTGCAGTGACCGTTATAGCTCATAAAGGAAGCATGGATCCAAAAGGTAAGCAGCAACAAGACCTATTACAAACAGCAAAACAACACAGCTTCCACAGCTTCGAAACCGACCAAAGCAGGTTGCCACTGGTTAGCTCGGGCAGCCTGCTTTTATTCCCTTATCTGGCCCCAACCACATCCTGCTGATTGGTCCATTTTACAGAGAGCGATTGGTCCACTTTACAGAGAGCTGATTGGACCATTTTGACAGGGTGCTGATTGGTGCATTTACAATCCTTTAGCTAGACATAAAAGCTCTCCAAGTCCCCACTAGGTTAGCTAGATACAGAGTACCAATTGGTGTATTTACAAACCTTGAGCTAGACACAGAGTACTGATTGGTGTATTTGCAAACCCTGAGCTAGACACAGAGTGCTGATTGGTGTGTTTACAATCCTTGAGCTAGACACAGAGTGCTAGACAGAAAAGTTCTCCAAGTCCCCACTAGATTAGCTAGATACAGAATACCAATTGGTGTATTTACAAACCTTGAGCTAGACACAGAGTACTAATTGGTGTATTTACAAACCCTGAGCTAGATGCAGAGTGCTGATTGGTGCGTTTATCATCCCTTAGCTAGACATAAAAGTTCTCCAAGTCCCCATCCAGCTCAGGAGCCCAGCTGGCTTCGCCTAGTGGATTCTGCACCAGGGCTGCGGGCCGGAGCCGCCCGCCAGTCCCCAGCCGGGCCTGCACTCCTCAACCCTTGGGTTGTTGATGGGACCAGGCGCCACGGAGCAGGGGCGGCGCCTGTTGGGGAGGCTCAGGCTGCGTGGGAGCCCACCGCAGGGGAGGAGTTCCCACATGGCAGGCTGCAGGTCTCAAGCCCTGCCCCGCAGGGAGGCAAAGGCCCAGTGAGAATTTGAATGCAGCGCTGGCGGGCCGGCACTGCTGGGGGACCCAGCGCAACTTCCGCAGCTGCTGGCCGGGGTGCTAAGCCCCTCACTGCCCTGGGCCGGTGGCGCAGGCCGGCCGCTCCGTGTGCAGGGCCCGCCCAGCCCACACCCACTGGAACTGGCACTGGCCCGCGAGTGCCACGTGCAGCCCCAGTTCCCGCCGGCGCCTCTCCCTCCACACCTCCCTGCAAGCAAAGGGAGGCGGCTCTGGTCTCAGCCAGCCCAGAATGGGGCTCCCACGGTGCTGTGGCAGGCTGAAGGGCTCCTCAAGCACTGCCAGAGTGGACACGGAGGCCGAGGAGGCGTTGAGAGTGAGGGGTGCTAGCACATTGTCACCTCTCAACGGGACTTTCCATTGCGGGCATGTCTGGGTGAGCCACCTGTGTAGCTTTTCTTATCTATGTGGCTATGGGCATGTCTTAGGCAAGCCCCTCTATGCAAGTTCTCTTATCAGTGCCTGCTGCTTGATTTTTTAGGCTGTTCTTTTGTTTGGAAGAATTTAACTGAGGGCCCACCCTAACTGCCTGCCTGACTGGCTTCTTCCTTTCTCCTCTCTCAGTAGTTCATGGATTGGCTCCTGCTTTGGCACCACCTTGAGAGACTTAAGATGTTGGCATGATTTTTGAAGCTTTTTATTGGATATTGGGTTGATATTATATTTGAACATGAAGTCACCCTGAGGTGTGCTGCCAGGTGCCCCCATTGTATTTGGATACAGACAGCTGTGAAATGCAGGGGAGCAGTTAAGAATATTAACAGGTCCCCAGCTGAAATGCTTTAATGGCAGTGGTACATGGCCTGCTCCTACCTGACCCAACACACATCACAACCCCGACCCCTACCCCTAAAGCCTATTCTCAATATAGCAGCCAGACTCAGCCTATTAAGACCAGTCTAATCCTACCTACTCTGCCTTCAGGGTGAGAGCCCCCTGAGGCCTGTATGAGGGGCTTCTCACCTCCCTCGTAGGTCTGCTGCACCCACTGGCCTCCCTGGAATCCAGGCCACTGCTGCCTCAAGGCCTTTACACCAGCAATCCACTGGGTCTGGAGCTTCCTCCCCCTGGAAGTGCCCACAGTTCACCCTCACATCTTTAATGTTTTTGCTCAAATGTCCCTGGGGAAACCTGCTCCAACCACCCCTAATGCTGCAACCTCCCACACCTGGCTCTCCTGCTCCTTCTCATGTGTCTCCTTTCTTCCCCCAAATTATCCCATTTATCATGTTCTAACACACAACATGATTTGTTTATTGTGTTTGGTGTCTGTCTCTTGTCACTATCATGTAAGCTCCACGGGGACAAAATTTTTTTATCTCTTTTGTTTGTTGGTATATCCCTACCATCAAACTCATCGGCGCTTAATACATATTTGTAGAATGAATGAATGAATGAATGAATGAATGAATGAATGAATGTCTCTAGGCTCCAAGTCAGTCTGAGCAGGCTGGCTTGCAGGTCCGGAGCTTCTCCGAGCAGCATCTCACCTCCTGGTCCCCATTGGGTAGTTGGACTCTCACTCCCCATGCACCAGGCCATGTCTTGATGTTTGACAGGCTGGGCTCCCACTCTGGTTCTGCCCCAGGACTCCCTTCTACATCCTGCCCCGTGGTGTCCTTGCCTATGCCCCTCTCATCAGTGCCACTGCCCTCCCAAATGCAACCTGAGCGTGTCTGCTGTGGGCTCCCGTCACTGGGCTCTGCCCTCTGTGGACACACTGTGCCACTTCCCCTTCTATGCCACTGACCCGGACCCAGACTGAAGGTTGCCCTGCTGTTAAAGAAACCCAGGACCTGACAGTAGGTAAAGTAGGAAAAGCACATTTTATTCCGGAACTATTGCAAAGGGGGAAAGAGGCCTCAGTGTATATGGAACAGGCTCAGTTCTGAATTCAACCAGAACGAGTGGGGATTTAGAGCCATGGCACAGATTGGTGGTGGGAATGGGGGAAATTACTAAGAGAGAGTGCCGGGGGAAGGGAGGCTTCTGGTTAAACAGGGTTAGGATTCTTGCTGAAGGCAGGCCAGGGTGGTCAGATGCCAAGGGTGGGGGCTTCTCGCCACACTGACTTGGGAGGGACTTGCTAAAACTGGCTGATGCAGGCCCAACGGGGACAGGCACAGAAGCCCAGGATTGAGGCCTGGTTGAAAGAGAGCTTCGAGGAGCCTGACTCAAGTGCGGCCTCAGAGCGAGTCTTTGTCCTGGGAAGCGGGACCTTGTGCTGGCTAGGCAAGCATCTGCCCTAGCTTGACCAGGGTGCAGAGCCCGCCCTGCCCTGCTGCTGTGCCTTGAGAATCAGGCAGGTCCAGAACAGGACCAGGCCAGATTATCCTGCAGCTGTGGGACGTGGGGCAGGATGAGGCCTTGCTGTGAATGTCCCTGAGAAAAATGTGCCCCCCTCCCTTTCTAAAAAGGTTTCCTGCCGTGAAAATGACATCCAGGAAAACAGAACAGGAGAAGACCAGTCTCGGGAACCACACCTCCGGGAGCTCCTCTCAGCCCCTAGCCGGTGGCCCCTCTAGGCCCACAGTCCCTCCTGCACTGGAGCTGGGGTCATGGTTCTCTCAAGGAAGCATTGAGGAGCACGGACAGGCCCAGAGAAGAAATGCCTGACTCCAGGCTTCATGGGGAAGGTGGGGAAGACAGCAGGGATTGGAGCTGAGAACCAGAGGCTGGAGAACACCCTGAGACAGGACCTCCTGAAGGAAGCCCTAGGATCTCCACTGCCAAGAGGAGGGGAGATGGGGTGGGGGGCGGGGCTGCCAAGGGTCCAGGTGAGGAGGGGAGATGGGGTGGGGGGCGGGGGCTTTCGAAGGACCAAGTTTTTACCATCCAGACTTTTCAGGATTCAGGAAGGAGGTGCTGGAGTGAACACTAGGCTTCAACTTCTGTCCTAAAATACCTAAAGTCAAAATATACCCAGCCAGGCGTGGTGGCTCACACCTCTAATCCCAGCACTTTGGGAGGCCAAGGAGGGAGAATTGCTTGAGCCCAGGAGTTCAAGACCAGCCTGAGCAAAATAATGAGATCCCCCTCCATCTCTACTCCAAAAAACTTTAAAAATTTGCTGGGTGTGGTGGCGCATGCCTGTAGTCCAAGCTACTCAGGAGGCTGAGGTAGGAGGATTGTTTGAGCCCAGGAGGTCAAGGCTACATTTGACCAAGATCACCCCACTGCACTCCAGCCTGGGTGGCAAAGAGAGACCCTGTCTCAAAAAAAACAAAAACAAAAACAAAAACAAAAAACCACCTTACCCTGAAAAATTCATTTCCTTCTAACACCTCATCCTGATCCCCAGGAGAAATTCATCATCCTTCTACTTGACTTTCTTCTGTTGAACTATCTAACCTGGTCTATTTCAACAAACACTATTTCTTGACAACCACTAAGTCTGGCTTGGGCTTTATTATGCTAAAGAAACGCCTGCCTCCAAAATCAGATTATATAATAAAGTTTTCTTTCACAGACAAATAGTAGAAGTGCCCAAATTAATCATTTTAATTTCTCAGAAGGGGAAAAAAAATGCCATTTGATCCAACCACACAGGCAAAATGCCTAGTGCACAGTAGCCGCTCCGTAAAGCTAAGTCACTGCTGTGGTCGGAATCAGGGAGGGACCCTTCCCTTCACATGCAGTGTCCTGGGTTTCCCCCTCCCCACCCTTCTCATCAGGAGTTCCTAGAGCTGAGGTCCCATGAGGCTTCAGGTGCCACAGCACACGTGGCAGCTTCTGTCATGCCAGTCAGAATCAGTGACCCCAGATAAGGTTGGCAGGGTGATCCCAAAGAGAACAGTGACTTCAGCCTCAGCGCAGGGAGGCCGATGGCTGGGGACTGGGGGAAGCTCCTGTGGATGGGATTTCTGAGAATGTCCAGGAAAGAAAAAGCTAAAAAGGTAGAAGTCAGACAGAACACAGCTCATGCCACTTCTAATAGGAATTTGCCCACATCGAGGCCAAGCCCTGTCACCTCTTGTCTTGCTCAGTGGTATTGGTGCCTGAAGGGATCCATTAAGAGTCTAGGACCCAGTGTGAAATTTTCTGGCTTGGCTCATACACTGTCCTGTCTTTGGAATCAAAGAGCAGACACAGATCAATGGATAAGCTGGGGAGTCTTGAATTCTTAACTATCTCTTTCCTTAGTGAAAGAGTGTTGCACTGGCTAAGTTTACTGAGTTTAAAGCCTCTTGTTCTTTCTGCAAAATCTGCAGGCACAGCAGCCGCAGGCACAGCAGCCTCAGGTAACTGCCCCTAAGCCAGGGTCAGAGCTGGGGGCAGCAACAGGGGCTGGGGACATGAGATGGCCCCTTGGGTTTCATCTGCAGGTGCCAAGAACCAGCAAGTCTCCTGGGGATTGAGTGCTTTGTGGGGCACTTGGGCCTGTCCCATTGTCCTCCTCCGAGGAAACTTTTGGGGCAGTCTGGCTCTCCAGGGGTGGGGACGGCTCTGCCCTATGTCACCAAGGCCCTCTCTGCAGGGTGTGGGTGTGGGCACAGCTAGCAGCACAAGCCGTGGTCGGTCTGCAGTTCTACCTTTTCAGCTTTGCCCTTCCCTGTCTGCCAGTCTGATCCCAATCCTGTTTGTGCCCATCCCAATCCCCTACACCTAAATTATATCAGTCTAGAATTCGCCTGCTACTTCCATTCTTGACTTCAAATTCTGACCTTTACCTGGCTGGCCAAGGAGTTTTGTCCCTCCTTGATGTGCTGTCCTTGAAATGCTCCCAAGGAATTGCCTACCAGAACCCCCAAAACAGGATCAGGGACCAGGGTTTTCTTTTCACTGTGTCCTTCTACCTTAACCTTCAGTGTTGCAGAGCACCTGGAGCCTGCTGAACCAGGGGTTCCATGCCATCTGCAATGCTGGGTATGTGCAGGAGGTGAGGCAGAGAACAGGGAAGCATACGTTCCCACTCCTAAAAATTCTCAGAGACAAATATTTTCTGTGAGTGTCAAAACATGATGGGACTGTTCATGAAATCAGTCCGTGAAGTCAGCTGTGATCTTGATGAAACATGAGCCATGGTTCTGTTGGTTCTGAAGCTGTACAAATCACAAATTCTTCATCAAGATAGAAATTGAAAACCTAACTTGTGCAACATATGTTTCTTGAATTGGATATCCAAATGCAAAAAAAATTAAAAAGAGGAGAAAGAAAGAATCTCAATCATAATCCAAGAATCTCATACCATATACAAAAATTAATTTAAAATGGATCATAGACCTAAATGTAAAACTATAAAGCGTTTAGAAGAAACATGAGAGAAAATATTTGAGGAGGTGGTAGGCAGGATGCTCTCCCAAAAATGCCCACCTCCTAGTTCCTGGAACCTATGAACATGTTATATTACCTGGCAAAAGAGACTTTGCAGATGCAATGAAAGATATAGACCTTAAAATAGGGAGGGTATCCTGGGCTATCCAGGTGAGCCCCATCTAATCACATGACCCTTTAATAGCAGAGAACTTTCTCCAGCTGCAGCAGAAGGGAAAATTGGATATTCCAGCCATGAGAAGTTCTTTAAGATTCTGTGAGTCAGGATTGCCAGCTAGCAGAGGGAGGGCCTCATTTGCAAGGATCAGAGAGAGGCCATGTGGAGCCAAGGGTGACCCCAGTTGACCCCAGCAATGAAGCTGGCAGCTGAGCCCCACAACCTCAAGAAACTGGGTTCTGCCCACACCCTGAGTGAACACTCGTGGATTTTTCCCAAGCCTCTTGGTAACAGCCCAGACAGCCGACACCTTGACTTTGGCCTGGTGAGACCCAGAGCACAGAAACCAGCCAAGGAGCTCAGAATTCTGACCTACAAAACTGTAAGATCATAAATTTGTGTTGTCTTATGCCAGTAAGGTTGTGGTAGTTTTTCACAGCAGCAGTAGAAAAATAATAGAGACCCTGGGTTAGGCAAAGATTTCTTAGCTAGACCATAAACACATAAACCGTAAGAGGAAAAAAAAAGAAGCAGCTGAACATCAAATTAAAACCTCTGATTTTTAGAAGATACTTTCAAGAAAGTTAAAAATGAAACAAGCAAAGATGACAATATTTAAAAACACATATCTCATGAAGGACTGGAATCCAGAATATATAAAGAAATCCTCAGCCAGGTGCGGTGACTCATGCCTGTAATCTCAGCACTTTGGGAGGCCTAGGCCGGTGGATCACTTGAGGTCAGAAGTTCAAGACCAGTCTGGCTAACATTGTGACACCCTGTCTCAACTAAAAATACAAAAAGTAGCTAGACATGGTGGCAGGCACCTGTAAGCCCAGCTACTCAGAAGGCTGAGGCAGCAGAATCGCTTGAACCCAGGAGGCGGAGGTTGCAGTGAGCCGAGATCAAGCCACTGCACTCCAGCCTGGGCAACAGAGCAAGACTCCATCTCAAAAACAAAAAAAAGAGAGAGAGAAAGAAATCTTAGAACTCAATAGAGACAAAACATTCAATTTTTTTTAAGTGGGAAGGGAAGATGATTTGAACAGGTACTTCATCAAAGAAGGTACACAAATGGCGAATTAAACACATAAAAAGATGCCCAACATCACTAGTCATCAGGGAAATGCAAATGAAAGCCCTGATGAGATACTGTTGTACACCTATTAGCATGGCTAAAATTAGAAAGACTGGCAATACTAAGAGCAGACAAGGAGGCAGAGGAACTGGAAATCTCATGCATGCAAAATGGAACAATCACATTGGAAAACAGTTTGGTAGTTTCTTACAGAATTACACTGATGTTTATCATTTGGCCCAGCAACCCCTTCCCAGGCACTGAAAT